CTCCACCCCCTGGACCCCACGCCAATTCGTGACCCCTGTGTCACAAATAAGGTATAAAATAATAATTATTTAATGGACAAAACTCCTGAGCTTCTGGGGGCTCCGCCCCCTGGACCCAACACCAAATTGTGTCCTGCCACTGTCACAAATAAGGTATAAAATTATGCTCATCCGACGTTAATTTTGATGTTTAATACCCCTGAGCTTCTGAGGGCTCCGCCCTGTGAAAAAAACGTGTAAAAAAAACACGTTAATTTTTACCGTTTTTGGGAGATACCCCCCCCCCCCTGGCGTTCAAGGGGGGGGGGGGTACGATTTTTCAAATTTTTGAGGGCCCCAAAAAAGATTAGTGCTCTCTAGTAATTTCGCGACTACTCCGGAACCGCGGCAGTTTTTCTTTCATGACTTTTTTCTTTCGAGTCTTACGCATCTTTTGAAACATATTTTTGTTGAAAATCGGACGTATAATTGCGGAGTCACGTGACCTTTTGTTTTTGCATGTCAAAAAAATCTAAAATCGCTCATTTTTGTGATTTATGTACCAAACATATGGAAATACCATTTATTCTTTTAAAATAGAGAAAACATTGGTTATTTGGTCTTGTTTCAAGTAAATTTGTTTGATTTGGGGTAAAAATAGTTGAACTGTGGTTAGAAATGAAATGAAATAACAAAATAATATAATACATAAATACAAATAATCAAAACAAGAGATAACATAGGGATAAACTGGCTCTTCCAACTTTGTTGTCGTATTATTATTCTAACGAATATATGAAGTGAAAAAGAACGCTCGAATATGAATTATATATGATTTATGGGTAAAAATGTGAATTCTCTGACCTTGTTTGCATAAATTACCATAAATATGCATTTTCGCGGCGATCGGCTGTGAAACGGCCGAGATCTTAGGAGGTCCCCCCCCCCCCACCCTCAAGTCCACTCCAATCACATTGAAAAAAAGTATGACTTAAATCATCTCTCTCATCATTATACCGCTATAGTATTCATGTTTTTAATATTATTTATTTTCCATTAAACAAGTTCATAGAGAAAATACTTATCTCTCTGCAACATTAAAAAAGAATCTTCATTAATATGTCTTAATTTGTATTGATAGCCTTGTGGTCGCCAACAGTGGCGAAGGCAGGGGCGTCTCCAAAGGGGGTGTGGGGGTGCGACACCCCCCCCCCCCCACCTGTCAGGATATTGTCGGTAAAATTGCGCTGCCGTCGGGAAAAAGAGAAAAGGGGGAGGGGGAAAAAGAGAGTAAAAGGGAAAGAAAAGAAAAAAAGAAAAAGAAAAGAAAAAAAGAAAAGAAAGGAAAGAAAAGAGAAGAAAGAAAAGAAAGAAAGAGAAAAACGAAAAAGCGGGAGAATAGGAAAGAAAGGAGGCAAGAGCCCTTTGCCCCCGTTACCCTCTTTTCTTCTTCTTCCTCTTCTTTCTTTCCTTTTATCTTCTCTTTCCCTTTCCCTTCTCTCTCTCTCTTATTTATTTTTTTGGCGGGGGGGGGGGGGAGGAGGGGAAGAAGGGCTAGGAGGCAAGAGCCCTTCGCCTCCGTTTCCTTCTTTTTCCTCTTCTTTCTTTCCTTTTATCTTCTCTTTCCCTTTCCCTTTCCCTTCTCTCTCTTACTTATCTTTTGGCGGGGGGAGGAGGAGGAGGCAAGAGCCCCTCTTTTCTTCATATTCTTCTTCCTTTCCTTTTTTATTCTCTTTCCCTTTCCCTTTCCCTTCTCTCTTTCTCTCTTATTTATTTTTTGGCGGGGGGGAGGCAAGAGCCTTTCGCCCCCGTTTCCCTCTTTTCTTCTTCTTCTTCCTCTTCTTTCTTTCCTTTTATCTTCCCTTTCCCTTTTTTCCTTCTCTCTGTCTCCCCCATCAAAGAGACCACTCTGTAATCAAGACCATTCCATTTCATTTAATACATTTTCGATATACTTAAATTGGCAACTATTACCTTCTGTCCGAGATCCTCATTTTAAACGACTGATGCGAAAGACTAGTCGACGCACCCTTTCGAGAAAAGCCCCCCCCCCCCCCGCTTTCATCGAAAGGGTGTGTTAAAATGGTACTCCGCTCTCAACGCACCCTTTCGAGAAAAGGCCCCCCTCTTTTATCGAATGGGTGCGTTGAGCACACCACACCGCACCGCACCGCACCCTTTCGATGAAAGCCCATATTTGTTGTATTGACCTACAGCGTATTATATTGGAGTAGGCCCTAGATTAAAAAGAAAAAAACCTCGAGGACGCCCTCTGTTGTCCTTTGAGGGTCACTTCGTAGCTGAGCTGATGTCCTTTTGAGTTTGTCCTTTCTCGTTTTCGTGCTTGATGTCTATTTGCTTACCGTAAACCAAAACGCCCTCTGTTGTCCTTTGAGGGTCACTTCGTAGCTGAGCTGATGTCCTTTTGAGTTTGTCCTTTCTCGTTTTCGTGCTTGATGTCTATTTGCTTACCGTAAACCAAAACGCCCTCTGTTGTCCTTTGAGGGTCACTTCGTAGCTGAGCTGATGTCCTTTTGAGTTTGTCCTTTCTCGTTTTCGTGCTTGATGTCTATTTGCTTACCGTAAACCAAAACGCCCTCTGTTTCTTCTGACCTGTACTTTGTCTATTTTGCTCTGACCTTTGATTTATTCTTTGTTAATTGGTCCTTTCTTCTGGGTACTTTGTCTATTTTGCTCTGTCCTTTGTTTGTTTGTATGCTTCTTTGTTTGTTTGTATGCATCTTTGTTTGTTTTTGTGACTGTTGATATTGGCCCCTTTGGCGCTCCATACTGATGAGAGGGGTAGACCACAATATGTTCAAATAACTCCACGCACACACACACACACATATATGGACACACACATATATGGACACACACATATATGGACACACACACTGTGTGAGCAAAGTGAGCAAGAAATTGTTGAAATCTTGATCACCTTGGGACCTGGGGGATGCATACATACACCTGCCCCCCCCCCCTGCATACATACATGTACATGTACATACACCCTCATGCACATAAAATGCAAACATACGAACGCATTAATAGGTTTCCAACAGACCCCAGCCTGAGATATCTCAGACACTGTCTTCAACAGGATAAACAGGTGAATATGTAGGTTTAGAAGGGGCTGTTCACAAATATTAGTATTTTCACAATGTATTGACTAGCATTTTTATAACTTGTCTAGAGGTTAACATGTTAACATGTTAACATGTATCCAAAATCTTGAAGAATGAGGGTTGAAAAGAGTAGCCAATTACAACTTGTGAAAATATTTACAATTGTGAATGGCTCTGTAATAACAAACAGTTAAAAAATGTCTCCAGTATTTCAGAATCCTTTATCCAAAAAAAAATAAAAAATAAAATAAAAATAAAAAATAAAATTTAAAAAAAAATAAATAAAAATAAATAAATAAAAAAAAAGCGTAGGGTCGGCGATAAAAATAGGGTCGGGCGGGTTACGCCAAGTCATCAATTTTTTTTTTAGGCCTTATTTAGAAGCCTTTATGTCATGGTGTGCAAAGTGGCTGGGCTCGATCCCCCCCCCCCCCTCCTTTTTTAAAAAGTATGTTAAAGAGAAAAAGAAAGAAAGACGGAGAAAAAAATAAGTGACCTGCCAATGTCACAAATAAGGTATAAAAAATGCTCATCTGACCGTAATTAAATGCTTAAAACCCCAGAGCTTACGGGAGCTCCACCCCGGACCCCACCTAAGGCGGGCCCCTGGATGCTCATCTGACCATAGTTAATTATTAAAACCTCTGAGCTTCTGGGGGCTCTCCCCCCCCCCTGGAACACGTCAATTGCCTTACAGAGGGCCCCTGGATGCTCATCTAATCGTAATTAAATACCTAAAACCCCTGAGCTTCCGGGGGCTCAGCCCCTTGACCCCCTGCCGAGGCTCATGCCCTGGACCCCACGCCAATTTACGCTCTACCTGATCGATAATACTCCACTTTGAAAAACGTTCCGCGGGACCTGCATGTAACGTGTAAGACTGGTGGTGATGCAGATTTTTCGTCTGCCCCCCCCCTTCCGAACTTTTTTTCTCATTACGTCACTGCCCCTGGAATTTTTGCTCCCCCCCCCCCCCCATCCCAAAATGCTTCAGGCCCCCTCCCGGGCCCCGTTGCATAAAACCTACAATTTATGGTAACTTTACCCTCAATGGCAACTACCATGGCAACCGGGCTCAACAGCCAATCAAAATCAAGGTTCCCATGGTAGTTACCATCAATGGTAAGTTTTTGTGCAATGGGTTCGGGGGGGGGGGGGGGGTCATCATGTCTTAAAAATGATCGGATTAGAAGTTGTCAGACCGATTTTACCAACAAGTTTATAGAGTATTTTGTTTACCCTCAAGAAAAGGAACAGGTTCTCAGACTTGAAAAGGCCGAAAGGAGTTTTTATTAAAAAAGTATCAACAACAAAAAAGAAAAGAAAAATAAACCCATTATATTAGGAGATCCCGGGTAAAAATGTATGGGTGGGGAGAGAGGGGGCAGTGTCACGCACCCCCTCTGGAAACTGCCCCCTGTCTCAGCCGCTAGATAAGGTAACTTGCATATGCTACACGCACATCATATGAAACGTGGAGCGCCAGGATGACAAGTTTGCCATACATGAGCGCTATAATATTATATACAAGAAATCATTTGGCACTTGTAGTAGTATAGTAGTAGTAGTAGTAGTAGTAGTAGTAGTAGTAGTATTAGTAGTATTAGTAGTATTAGTAGTAGTAGTAGTAGTAGTAGTAGTAGTAGTAGTAGTAGTAGTAGTAGTACTAGCAGTAGACGTAGTAGAAGTAGTATAGTATTAATATCATTATTATTATTATTATTATTATTATTATTATTATTATTATTATTATTATTGTCATTTGTTTTTATTATCATTATTTTTTTAATTATTATTATTATCATCAATTAACATACTTTAGGCCTATGATAATTATGATTATCACCAAATCAATCAGGCCAATTTTATTTTAATTTTTTGCTATGGTTACAGCTTTGTCAGAGAAACCGAATGTTCTGTTCATCGTGATAGATGATTTACGAGCATCCCTTGGATGCTATGGGGGTCCCATCATATCACCAAACATCGATCAACTTGCATCCAGATCTGCTCTCTTCACCAACGCCATGGTGCAGGTAACGACAACGGGGTTTAAGCCCTGCTGTACTACTTATAGCTACTTGTACCCTCTATATAGCAAACAATGCCTAAACAGTGCCTGTTGGTCCCCCATGATCCTCTTTTTCTTATGTTAATATTGAGAGCTGATTTGATGAGATAACCACCTGTCAGTGACCTTGCAGAAGGTCTAATCCCCTGGCCAAACTAGTACAGATGGCTTTTCAATTAATGGGGTTTAATATTTTTTAAAGACCGTATCCGAACTGAAAAATGAAATGGATGAATGATTATATCAACGGAAAACTGATAAGCCATAGATTATAATAATATCAATTATATGCCAGTTTAGTATCTGTCATCGAAGTATTTATTTAGCTCTCTGAAAACTCAAAATCCAAAGCTTTGAAAGTCAGAAGTTGTTGACCTAAAAATCGTGCTATCGACTTGTGGAGTACGCTATTCACAATGAATATGCATCAATTATGGTGCAGGTAAGGACAAGGGGGTTCATTTCTACAACTTATAATCAACTTTGATGTATACCAGAATGTGATGTGAACTTAACCTTTGAACGGTGCCTCAAAGACTCCCAACATAATACATGTATAGCAATCAATATTTCATCAATACAAATTATAATGGTTTGTGTTGATGTTTATATCATATCAGTGGCGTAATGAGCAAAATCTTCTCTCTTTTTTTTGAGGGGGAAGAAGAAAGGAACTATAATTTACAAATAAGTGAAGAAAAAAAGAAACCCGGAAAATCATGTTATTTCACCAACATTTGTAAATCATGAGTGCTATTTTGGCCATTATTATGTTTTAAAAAAGTAGAATCCTTGCGAGTTTCTTATATTGTATTCGGCCGTTTTGTCCTTGACACTCATGCTTTTTATTATCTCTCTCTAGCAATCAGTGTGTGCCCCCAGTCGCGTATCGTTCTTGACGGGGCGTCGACCCGACACCACTCGGCTCTATGACTTCGGGTCTTACTGGAGGACACATGCAGGCAACTACACTACCATACCACAACACTTCAAAGATAACGGATACTTCACAGCGTCAGTAGGAAAGGTTTTTCATCCAGGTATCGTCATAACTTATACATTCATTCTAATACGGTTTATTGCCGAAATTTTTACAAATCGGCTTAGACTGGCTGGTATTTTTTCTTCATAAATGGAAATCGCAATGATAGTAACGATAACTCCTATTATGATGATGATGATTATGTTTATATTGATAACAGTAATAATGATGAAAACAATGACGATGATAATAATAATAATAATAATAGTAATAATAATAATAATAATGATAGGCCTACATGCAATGATAATAATAATAATGATAAGAAGAAGAAAATCTAGAAGGAAAAGAAGATGATGATGAAGGAGAAGTAGAAGAAGAGTAAAAAGGAGAAGAAAAAGATTAATACAAAAATTCATAAAGTATATATCAGGCATCACTGAAGCATTTCTTTCTCTTTGCGCGGTACCGTAGGGAAATAGTTGAAGACATACTAGTTAAACGAAATCAAGACGTAATAACTATCGTGATACAAGGTAAAAATTAATATGGCATATGATTTATAAAGCGGAAGCACAGCTTGGTAAAGATTTTTCACCTTTTAAAAACGCAGGCCTATAAATTGTGTTCGAAACATTCGCAGGGACTCATGATACGACGCATAATACGTAAAGCACAATGTAACTCCTTTCTTTTAATAAATTGATTTGTTTTATAATTCCAACGCCATTTAATATCGGACAAAGATTCATGACCTTGGATAATTTCTGTTTGGTTTGACAAGGCAAAACGGGTGGTGGTCAAGATGACTATCCATACAGCTGGTCTGTTCCGCCTTACCATCCACCGACAATACAATACAAGGCAGCCAAGGTTAGTAGATCTTGTTTAGATTAAGATACGCCTTTCTTGGCCAAAATATCGATTTTGGTGTGAGAAAAGAAGAAAGTTTTGTGTATAGGCCTACCGTCGGAGGACAGTTGCGCTGCCGATATACCGTAATTAAAACAGGGGGAGGCGGGGTAGGCTAGATGGGTATATAGGCTATATCTTAGGGCCTATATGTTGATTAATTCATCCATGTATTGGCAGTGTTCGAAAGTATAGAGATCACACTTTGAAGAAATACATCTTGTGCCAACTTCATAATATTCTTTCTAAATTTTCGGTGCGCTCCCCCTTCCTCAGGGATGACATTAATGCTTGCGGGTGATCAGAACATTTACAATAATAATTTATAGCGGGCGCAATTTCAGCGTTACCCCAAAATAATTGATCAAGGACTAGATATATATATATATATATATATGCTATTACCCTCGGCACGCCTCGGGCAATAGCACGATGTAACCTCCCTGAGAGAGTATAAAAACAACTATGCCTCTAATATTAAAACAGTCATTATATAACTTTTATATACTGAAAAAAGACATATATATATAATTATGATGTATATACTTGTGTATATATAATACTATCCTATATTTCGCTATTTTCTTTTTATAGGTGTGTCCCAATTTGGATGGCACTCTTCATTATAACGTAATGTGTCCAGTCAACGTAAGTGACATGCCACAAAAATCACTCCCGGATATCCAGTCTCTAGAATTCTCATCATCTATCCTGAAGAACCTATCCATAGCCCTACATCCAACAAACAAGCAAGGAAAACCGACTGAAACCGGTCAGTCATCTCAGGACATGCAACCGCCTTTTTTCTTGGCCGTTGGATTTCACAAACCGCACATTCCGTGGAAGTACCCAGAGGAATTCAAATCATTGTACCCGATCGAGTCGGTTTCTATTGCAACCAATCCATTCCGGTCTCCAACCCAGCCGGATGTCGCCTATGAAGATTATTACAATATGAGAACGTCAGAGGATGTGACAGCTATGAATATGAGCTTCCCCTTAGGAACGATACCACTTCAATTCCATGTAAGATAATGCCTTGATCTAACAAAAACTATGTATTTAATTTTAGATTTTGTTCTTTGACATTACTTGACAGCAATGCATGAAATGGGCCGAATTGATGAATTTACACTCAAACGTATACAAATGTGTTTTATTTTCAATTGGTTAATTAGGAGGACTGCATCAGATGGCTAACCCCCCCCCCCCCCCCAATCATTTAGAGCACTAGCGTAATGAGAGAAAACATTTGGGGGCGCAATATTTGCGAGGAAACGTAGCGACCGAGCGGGAGGAGGGTGTGTGAAGGCGGTGTCCCCCCTCCCACGGTAGGGAGCTTTTTCATTTTTCTATTGGAAAATGTGCAATCTGGGGCATACCTAAGAAGGAAATTTTGACTTGACAATATGTACTAAATGGATAAGTGTGTCACGATTCGACCGACCGAGATTTTTTTTTTGGGGGGGGGGACCCGCAGGGGAGGGTGTGGGAGGGGGTGTCCCCCTCCCACGATAGGGAGCTTTTTAATTTTTCGATTTGAAAATGTGCAATCTGGGCATACCTAAGAAGGAAATTTTGATTTGACGACATGTACTAAATGGGTAAGCGTGTTACGATTCGACCAACCGAGAATTTTTTTTTCTTCATGAACTCGGAAAGATAATTATGCAAATATGCACCCCAAATAACCTTCACAAAACTACATTGCTTACAATATATTAATATGAACGAGCAGTGGATTCGCAGGATTCAAGGGGGGTGTTTTACAATTTGAAAATCGTGCCGAAAATTACGCAACGACTCAGCCAGCCGCTGAATAAGCGGGGGGGGGGGGGAAGCACATTTTTTGTTTGTGCCCCGGAAATTGGAAAATTACGTCGTCAGATATTTCGTTCAGTGGCTTGGGGGGGGGGGATACTTTTTGTTTGTTTACCCCCCCCCCCCCTGCGTACGGGCCTGTAAATGAGGTACCCAGACGTATAAACGAGGGAACGAAACGAACGAGCATTGAGAGGATGTGATGCAGTGGATGTCATTCCCACGATTATGGACTTAGCTTTTTCAATATTGAGAGTTGGCATCTCTTTAAACGGTATCTGGTATTAGGCCTATATGTTGTTTGTATTATGATGAGGCTCTTCATCCACCCACAATAATACGTTATCACTGCTATAAAACGAAATCAGTTGAATGGCAACTATCTACTTTACCAATCAATTGTATCGATCAAAGTGTAACATACAAGAAATCATTATACAAACCAGCAAATCCTTTAATCTGTTCTCGACATATTTCTGTTAAATTAGAGTCTCCCTGATCAAACCAGAGAGCCGTCCGACAAACACGATGGTGTTCTGCACCATGCTTTAATGGGATGCATTCATAATTTGCCTACAATGTCATAATGAGGACAAGTCCATGAAAACAGTTACACATTAAGGTACTAGTGTTACTGTTATTGGCCACTGAGGCCAATTAGTGACTATAAAAACATATGCTCTTCCTGGCTATTTGGGAATGTGTCAGTTTGCAACAGAAATGGAGAAACGCGCATTTTATTGAAAATCATGTGATATCACTTGTATGGAATTGAAAATAGGCCATGGTTTAATTTTATGGGGGGGGGGGGGCTAGCGCCCCAAGCTCCCAACCAGTACGCCAGTGATTCACACACAGAGAGAGAAGCATGAACAAAACATAACAAAAAGAAAGAAATAAAGCAGAAAGAAAGACAGTGTTATAAGTAAAACAAAACTTAATTCAGCCACCCTTTTTCTGATAATCCTGTATTTGTCATGTTTATTTATTAATCACTGAGCATTTTTGTTATTTCCCGGACAGGCTCCGATGAGACAGAGCTACTATGCTGCTGCATCCTACATGGATTCCTTGGTCGGAAAACTACTTCAAACCCTTAATGAAACTGGCTTCTCAAACAATACCATCGTCGTTCTCTTTGGGGATCATGGTTTGTTAATTTCCTCAAATTTCCCAACCACCCCTCCCCCTCTCAGTCTCTATTTCACGTACCCCTTTCGCCTTTAAAAAAAAAAACTCTTTTGTAATTTATTTGTGGAAAAGTTATAAATATACTTCAGATTATACATATTTATGGTGTGTATGATGGCTTCATTTCTCGACCTTGCATATACCGTACCATTATTGTTGTTTCTAATAGTACTTTTGATGGCTTATATACTTTCCATTAGTGATGAGTTTTTTTTAAATTCAGAGCTATGTGGATACACCTAAGCAGGGGCGGTGATTTCTGTTAATGACCGGGGGGACGAAATGCGATTTTTTTTTTTTTACGAGGATGTTATGCGAGGGAGCGTAGCGACCGAGCGAGATTTTTTTTGCAATTTTATTAGTCTAAACGCTGCACTCTTGGGCCTTCCAGAGCCTAAAAGTGTGTTGCAGTCATTATTCAGTATATGCTATACAATTTGTTTTTCACTTTTTCAAATTTCCAGGGGGGACGATCCCCCCCTAAAAAAATTGAGGGCGTCCCCCCGGGATCACCGCCCCTGCACCTAAGGATAGTGATTAAAGCAGAATAATGTTTGTCGGGAGTAAATAACCCTGAATGATACAAAGACGGCATACCACGCAACTAATTTCTTCCGAAATGTGATCATGATTCATTAAATTATTAAATCCATGCAAAGGCAGAGATTTCTGGGAATATATTTCTTCACCTGGATGCATACAACATGGCAAAGCTTGAGGGGCCTGGCACATGTGTTCATAATGTACTCATCCGGTATTAAAAATAACCTTTTGCTTTCTACTTCTTAGGGTGGCAATTAGGTGAGCACGCAGAATGGTGCAAGTTCTCTAACTATGAACTGGCGACAAGAGTTCCTTTGATCGTTCACATTCCTGGTGTTACAGACAAGCCAAGGTCATCGCCAATCAAAAATCAACTTCAAAATTCTCTAAAGATGATTCAATCTCAAGACACTGTAAAATCATCTGCTGACAGTGGGATGGTTGTTACTGAGTTTGTAGAACTTGTTGATCTGTTCCCCACACTCTCTGATCTCGCTGGCATCACTGTTCCACCTGTATGTCCTCCAGAGCCTTTCAATGTCACCTTATGTTCAGAGGGGTACAGTTTCGCCCCTCTCCTAGAGCCAGTCCAAGGCTCCAACGCCATTCTGCAGAAAGATGGCATGAAGAAGTTGACTTCAAAGCGGTACAGCAGATGGAAGAATGCCACATTCAGTCAGTATCCTCGTCCAGGGGTAACCCCAAACAAAAAGACTGATGTCCCTAGTCTGGGTGACATTACTGTCATGGGGTACTCCATGAGGACCAAGGATCACCATTACACCGAATGGATAGGATTCAATCCAAAAACCTTCCAAGGTAACTGGACCGATGTAAAGGCTACAGAACTTTACATCAATGGCTTTGACTATGATCAAAACCAAAATGTTGCTGCTGATCCAAAGTTTAAGGACATCGTTAAGCAACTCAGCTATCAGTTACAGATGGGCTGGCGCGAAAGCTTACCCGTCCCTGCATGAAGCCCAATGGAATCGCCCTTCATCTTAAAGCCAAGAGGTTGTTCAAACTACAACAACAATTAAAAGTGAAAGCCAGATTTTTTATTTTATTTTTTATTCATTCTAAGAAATTTCCACTGAACAAAATTCCAATGCATCTTAGTCATGTAGAAATACTGTAAGCATGCGTGACCACCAGGTTTTCTAGACACCCCTAAAGGCTTAACGAGGATTTCTTCTGAAGCCAAAGTACACCCTAAATGAGGATTTCGCGTGGTTCCCCCCCCCCCCCCCGAATTCACACCCTAAACGGGTATTTCACAAAAGTGTACTCTTAATATTGTAACCCCTTGAACATTTTGAAGTGCGATAGGGAATACCATTTAAGTTTTTGACAATGTAAAATAAATCAAATTGCGCTTCTGATGTAAAATTCACAATGTAATCATTTATTTCAATAATGAAGCAATAACATCAACCTGTACACTTCTAAATGTGTTTGTACATTAGCAAGCTAACGTAACCGAAAATTGTAGACAACCAGCTTCTCGACCAGCTTTCAATTCGGAGTCGAGATCTAGAAAAAATGTCTCTGTGATTTGTGTACGCCACCATGTAGTTTGCGTTTAGTACGACTTTCTTTTCCTTGAAAGAAAATATTTTGAGTAATAAGGATATCAGATAGATTTCTATGATGACTACCCTTGTAAACAGATGTGTAATTCTTTTATCTTTACTGGCTTCAGTCATGAGATCATCGAGAAATATGAGTTGTTTTGTTTACGGTCAAACATCGGCTCAGGGTATTATAGCTAATACTGTCTCTTGTACTGGAACTAAGAATATAGATTGTGGGTTAGTGTCAAGCTTTAAGAAGGAATGAAAAGGTCTCCTTGAATTGGGAATTTTACTGGCAAGATTTGGGCCAACGATTGTAAAGTAATTGTTCAGACTTTCCGCTATTTGCAAAGGATCTTGTGTTACAGAGACGACAGTGTTAATTTCTTACATTGGTGATTTGTTGTTATTTTTATTTAGGGCAGAGTTTATGACTTTCTGTGTCAATCATATCTTTTTTGTGGACTTCAAATTGATTAAAGAAGTATTCTTTGTTTGCAAGACGAAGGGTAGTTGTTAAAGGGTTCCTACAATAATTGATGTATTTCTGTTTATTGGGATCCGTTACTTTATATTTAAAGAAGAGTCGGTTTTTCCGATTTATACAGCGTAAGAGTAGCATAGTAATCCATGGAGCGGGTGGTACTTTTTTGTAGCTTGTACGTGCTGAGCGACTTTGTAAAGGGATATATCTGTCGTAATAATGAGTGAATTAGCGTAAAAATAAGTGTGTGCTTTGATTGGGTGAACAATTCGTGTTTTCTAAATGGGTAGAAATGAAAATACAGGAAAGTGGTCACTGACATCAGCTATTATAATACCAGAACAAGTATTAATGTTTATATTTTAGTAGATATTATCGACGAGTGAGGCGGAAGAGTCAGTAACACGTGTAGGAATGATTGCGTTAACATTTTGTCGAGAAAATGTTGGCATTGCTGTTTATGGTCTGCATTCAGCAAGTTTATATTAAAATCTCCCAAATAATACAATTGTTATTGTTAAGTTTATTGGAAGAAAGTACCGCATTTAAGGATGTTACAAATTCTTCGTAATTTGAGTTGGGAGGTCTGTAAACAACTCCAGCAATAATGTTCTTTTTTTAGGTAATTTGATTTCAATAAAGACGGACTCGAGAGCATCCGTCATATAATTAAATTGCGGTATTAGTAGGGCGATCACACTGCCTGTGCACACAGTCTTCCCCGCGAACACACACACACACACACAACAGCAGTCATTTGGTAGAAATAGCAAAATTTTTAAATGTATTTAAAAAAAACTAAACAATATTTTAAATGTTTTAGTTCACATATATTTCAAGCATACCTTTAATTACAATTCTGTGTAGATTCATTGTTATAAGCATGTGGGAAATATGTTAAATGATTTAATTAGAATATTGTCTTTTCAGCCATTGTGTGACATGGCCCGTTGATCGCCCATTGACTCGCGCTGCTATTCTGCGTGGTGAAAATGCACCTCAATGTATAAAACTCCCCTACAAAAAATGCAATATCCTCATGTGTTTCGCTAATTGAATCAATTTGTTGTTTAGACTTAAGGTAGCCACAACTGTACTGCGGTCACCAAATTTTGTTTTTTTCTGAAAGTCAGTCCCTGTGGAATGTTATGGCCTGTTGAATGGCTCCTGAGAAAATCGTCATAAATCCTCAAATCTGACATTTTTTAAAAAGAAAAATATATTGTGATGTAGCTGAAAGTCTGCAAATTCTTATCATTTGATCGGTTTGATCTGAATAATTTGTGAAACACATGAGGAAATAGCTGTGACGGTGATCCAAGTAATTTCCATCGCCATACTTTATTGGCATTGCAAAAATATTTGGAATTTAATGTTAATATTTGGTGTAAATATGATCTATAAATATATGATTTAAAAAATGCCAACAAAATGAACAGTTTGACTTTCCTATATGTAAAATTAGCCGAAATGACCTAATTTGCATATTTGATGAATATTCTTTCTTTTTTTTCTTCAAATAAAACATATTTCCATACCTGTCTGATATACATAGGTTTCACTGATGTATCATGTTCGGTTTTGATTTAATTACATATGCGCATATTAATTAGGCGGACTTAGTTATTTTCACAACTTTTTCATATCTGCAGATTCGCAAAAATGGCAAAAATAACTTATTTTGTTGTTTTCTGTTTTCAAAATGGTAATAGATATATGAATTTTCTTTTTTGTATTTTTTACCACAAAGATGATATTTTAGTGTCTGATAATTTAATTTATTATTTGTGTCCGAGAAAGTGATGAATTAAGTTGTCAACTTTGTCGAATTTTGCCATTTTTGCCAATTTGACCATTTCTGGCAGGTTTTTCGGTAATTTTGCGATTTCAAAAAAATGATATAAAATCACAACGCATTGACCGATTTCAATTCTATTTTTTTGTTTTTTGAAGCTTTCATATAAAGCTTGATCATTTACAATCATCAAATAACATGTGTTTGTTGTACTTATGTTTGGTGCGCTATACCTAGTATTAGATCAGAGTTAAAATGATTTGAGATATATGTCGCGACACCGCAAATTTTTTTTCTTCTGTTTTGATTAATTAGTTTATATTCATGTATGTTATAATATTAGTGAGGGTCATTACGCAACCATGTCTCTGTTAAGCCTATCACTGAATTTGGAGAATGATGAGTAATTAAAAGTTGGTGTAGCTGAAAAAATTCAGTATCGAAAACTCATTTTCTTTCGTACATCTGATGTATTAAATTGATTAACAGTTAAACATTTCGACGAGGACAACGTGGTTACAGATTCAATTGGATCAATATGAAACAAGTATTCCGGTGTATTATTATTGAGTTCATCAGCAATTTCAGTTTCAAATTCTTCAGCACTTCTCGTAGACTGATCGTCTGTACTGATACGGAAGAGGTTAAAAGCTGGATTTGTGTATATGTGCAGGTACTGGCAGAGTTAAATGAGGAAGTCGTCATCCTGCATGAAATTAAAGGGAACAATGCTCATATCAGCCATATTTATATATTGAAGTCATTTTGTGCGTCGGCACGATTAATAGTGAGTGGCTCTTGCACAAGTGAGTATGCGAAACACTTACAGCGCGAGAATCGCGCTCTCTAGGGGGATGGGTGCAGTCCCTTATGAAGCGCGGAAGCTTTGACGTTTCATTAAATTATTAGAGAAAGGATGCGATTCGTTGTACCGTTCTCGACTCTTAATCCTTGTCTGAATTTTCAAAAATGTTTCTTTGTCTGCTCCTTTTTCTCCCTACGTCCTTTTTTTTTCTTCTCTAGTCTCTCTCTTTTCACGCCTGCCTTCATGCCTCAACTTTGATAGAGGCATCAGCATCGGGCTTTAATATTTCGGGAGTTTGGTGTATAAGCAGTCTACAGGCATACACCTTCAACCCGATCTCATGTACTCAGCTACCGTGAATGAGGTCTAATTATGTTTGGAGGAACAATAACCGGAAAGCTAAATTTTATTTCCGCCAAACCAGGCGCTTGTCTGCAATAAACACATTGGTTCTGCCAATCAAAACGATTGCTCCCGACCGACATTGAACCGAAATGTATTCCAAGTATAAATAGTGCCATTCATGAAAAGTGTCACTCGTCTAAATTCCGGCCAGTAGTACGTTCACTGCAATCACTAGTAAGAAGAAGAAAAAAGGGTAGAAGAAGAAGAAGAAGAATTAGAAGAAGAATAAGAAGAAAGAAGAGGAGGACGAACAAGAAGAATTAGAAGAAGAAGAAGAAGAAGAAGAAGAAGAAGAAAAAGTAGAAGAAGAAGAAAAAGAAAAAGAAAAAGAAAAAGAAAAAGAAGAAGAAGAAGAAGAAGTGGAAGAAGAATAGGAGAAGGAGGAGAAGGGGGAGAAGGAGGAGGAGGAGGAAGCATACTCCACCAATAGCTAAATCTAGTTTACCCTATTCGGGGAGCAAAGTGTTTTTTCTACTCTTCTGATACATGTGCGTGGTAGGATAGCTATTACGAAAAATATGCACAATGATCACGGTTGTACATTTAGAAATAGACTTTACAGAGCTCAGCTCCCAAAAAATACAAGTACCTGCTGGCCTGCAACGTGATCTAAATTCAGCTGGCCATTCCCTGATCGAACAGTCATATCAGATATGAAACTAATATCACACCTTAAACTTTATCCTTGATCCAGATTTGATTCAAGTTAAAGGTAATATTCAGAAATACTATGAACATGATTTCCTTTATTTAATTGTATAAAAAGGAGTTTATTAGGTCAGAGAAATCAGACTGAAAAAGTATGAAACATAATTATTGTCACCGATTGTGTTATAAACAGAGAGTTGTTTATTTTTTTATTTCGTAAGTTTATGTGCACTGCTGAAGGAATATACCTTTGTATTTTTTAGTTGAAACTTTGGGATATATAGTTGTCATATACAGAAAGTATGATGATGATCCTGAAGGGGATTAGTGATTCAAAAGTAGTCGGTGGATGAAGAAATGTTAGAACACTCCATGACTAAAATCATGGGATAAATTTGGCGTAAAGTCTCTTGAGCCCCAATTACTTAAATACTTTTTATCTTCTTTTTCCTCTTCTTTAGTTCAGGCATGACGTATTTTTTCTTCTAGTTTTGTTATTGTTTAGTACTGTGAGTTTTGAGTGGATTCTGCACAGAAAGTGAAAGGAAATTGATTCTTTGTATTTTTCCTGTCTGTTTAGAAAGTGTCTAACAGGAAGTTCACCGTGTAGTAGAGCTGGTTGACCTCAGGCTAAACAGAAGTCGAATAACATACAGTTGGATGAATATAAATACAATTGTGTTCTTGTCGTACACTCTTCCTGTATAACTTGGTTACGCTATTTATCACAACCTGAAGCTGAACATAGTTTGTCAGGAGTTTTTACCAACTATGGCAGAACTATAAAACTGACTCGTGTAACATGCCTTGATATCCAGCATACTTGTTTAAAAGGACCATTAACGGATTACTTGAAGTAGTCTACAATCACGTACATCCTACGGTGAACTAATCGCCATTCGGTATGCCGTTATCGATACTATTTGCTGTTGTCTGTCTGATCTCTGTGTTGAGTTTTCCCGCCAATTCTGCTGCAAACTCTGGATGGCAGTCGTATCGTTGTGGAGCCCCTAATCCCGTCAAACACGGATCCATGTCAATCATTGGAGAAGGGGCGTATGCTTCCTACTTATGCAACCCCGGCTTTGCATTGTATGGAGCACGAAAGTTGCGTTGCCTAGGCAATGGACAGTGGTCAGAAGAAAGTCCACTATGCGTAGGTAAGATATTCGAATCTATAATATCTGTGTCATATATACAGAGTGTCCCTAAAAAGGAACCCGAAGTTCAATGGGAAAGTACTAAATGATCCTAAATCAAATCTGTTTCGATGTATATATCATTAAAAAGCTTGATTTCTCCTCTTTCATAATTATGACACCAGAAATATCACGCATGACTGATTAAAGACAATTTGAAATGGCGGTGACGGAAACCTTATTGTCCAAAATAATAAATAGCAAATGACTATTTCTATTAGGTCATTAATATCATTAAAGAAAAGAAAACTTGGTATGATATATATATATGTGTGTTTTAAAGGGGGATACACATCATTTAAAAGCTCATATAGTCAAATTCATCATTTGATACCGTAATTATGATGGAAGGATCATATATGACTGAGCAGGCGAAATTCGTAATCTATAAGGTACATGGACAGTTGTTCAGCTAGCTCGTTCATTTCCTGCAACAAATTCGATGCGCATAATCAGTTGCAAATTATGCCGAATGTGCAAGAAATGTGTGATCCTTCCTGATCTCATATGCAAAGGGACAATTTGAGTTTGGAAAATTCATGTATTTTAAACAATTATTAATTTAAAATCATTCCTTATCTTTCAAAAGCACAATTAAACAACAGCCACCCCCCCCCTGATTTTAAACAATTGTGTTTTTGACTACCACTGTGACTTATTGATGGGGTTTTGATGTCATATATAATTAAGAGCAAATCTCGTTTATACATTTACCAACATAATCTGGAATTATTGATTAATTTACCTGAACATTTGGTTTCCCTTTTCAGGGACACCCCTTATTTTGGCCATATTTTCTTGCACGACGTGCTTCATGTCATAAATCAAGAATATTTGATTTGCACCCGGGTTTTATATTTAATGAATCTGTGCGTGTACTTAACGAGGTCCAAATGCACATGGTTTTTATTTTGTTTAGAGAATTGTGTAAAATCATAATGATTATAGTTATATAGATCATGAAAAAAGTTAATATACGGTAACCATATGTGAAATACATTTTTTAAATATAGTAAATACTGGGAAACAGTGGAGTAAGAATAAAGTGTTTTTTCCCTTTACTTCTGTTGTTCATAATTATATCTAACTGATAAAGATAATATGAATAGTGAACGAAGATTATGATTTATTGCTCAGCTATATAACCTAAAGGAAGTATATAGGTGCAGCAAAGCGGAAGAGATGGCGGAAATCACAAGGTGAAGAGACGTAGCTCTTCTTCTCTTTCCTCAGTAAATCGAATCAGACAATTTTACTTTCTTTCGCTGCCTGGCTCAATATCTATTCATTCACCAAGTCTCTTATACTAGCTACCAATCTCACTTATTTTCTCATAATAAATGACTTACAATTTCTAACCTCTCACTTTGATTCTCTTCATGAAGTTTCTCTCAGTAGGGCATACTCCTTCCAAATTTGCATTTTTTTAAACAACGCTCTACATAAGAGCTTCTTCTACATCCTTGGTAGTAATATCCTTAACAGAAAAACAAAAGTAGCCATTAGGATTGGGTCTTTTCATCTTTATAAGATGTAATTTTTTTACACAAATCGGATTTTTTTTTCCGCGCTCGCTTCACTCGCTCGCAAATGAATTTTCAGACCATCACATCCAACTGCAAAATATAATGCTTAAGCAATATATTCTATGATGTATACAAAAAAATATGGAAATCATCACTCATAATGAAATCACAATGTAGGGGTATATACCAATGTCTAAACAATTGTATATTTTCTCCTTGAGATTTCCCTTTTTAGCGGGTGCCTTTTTCAGAAAGTGCCCTTTTTTGTTGGTGCCCCCCACTTTGGAAGTCGTTCCGCCGTACAATTTATATGCATATATACAATAATAAACATTAAAATGAAACATTATAATGTGGTGAGAAAAACAATCAATGTTATTCCCAAAGACAATAAGATTTACATAAAATGTTTCCTCAATCTACTAAAACCAAGATAGAAATTTAAAAAATGAAAAAAATGAAACAAAACATCAACATATAGAATTAAACTAGACAATCCATTACAAAAACAAAAGCAGAAATGGCATTTAAATAAATGTGCAATCCTTACATCGATTATTTCTTAATCAGAACATGATTTATATGCCTAGTGTTTCCCCAAAAATTTTGCAATTGTGTTTACATTGAGTACCGTGTTCAAGATTTTAAATGCTATAAATACACATGTTTCAATTATATGTTTCTCTATGATGTTGATCTTCAGCTCGTGGTTGTAATCCTCTACCCAAGTTCTCTAAAGGGCGAACTTCGATCCGCATGAACGGAGCCGTCGTGGTCTATAAATGCCCACAGGGGAAATGGATCCGGGGTTCTAAGACCATCTTCTGTAATGGCGAACGCTGGAACGACACCGTCCCAACCTGCAAGGGTAACCCGTCCTCTCCAGATCTAGACTTCCTACCGATCTCCAACTGCCCGTTACCACCCAAGGCCCATGGCGCCGTTGCTGTGAAGGGTTTCGAATACGTGACCTACACATGTGTCAACCGTACAGTACCCACGCTTGGTTCAGGAATATTGAGATGTCTTTCTAATGGCGAGTGGGACAGGCAACCTGTGGTCTGTGCAAGTACGTTAAGTTTTTTTATATTCCTTTTTTTACTTATTTCCCGCTTACATCTACTTCACTTTCTACATCGTCGATATAATGAATTGATGATAATGATGGTGATGGTAATAGTCTTCACATAATTATTATAAACGACGATGTAGATGCTGATGGTGATCCTGAAAGAGATTGATGATTTAAAAGTAGTGGGGGCAGTGATGATAATGATGATGATGGATGTTGATGATGGATGTTGTTGTTGTTGATGATGATGATAGAGATTATGATGTTGATGAAGGCGCGGTCGAAACGACGATTCTGATGACTTTAAAGGCAGGCTTTACTACTTCAGCCAAAAGGGATTAGACCACACAGCGAGCCAGCAAGGTTACTGTGACAGCTGGCTATCTCATTAACTCAGCTCTCATTTAACATAAGAAAAAGAGGATCATGGGGGACCAACAGGCACCGATTGGGGAAGTTTTCTAAATAGAGGGAGCAAGTAGCTACAAGTAGGACAGTGTGCCTTTAAAGACCTATCTCGACTATTTAAATCTAGGACCAGGATGCTCCCGCCTCACTGAGCCAACCAATGGACTCATCATCGAGAAGTTCGGCCTTTCTGTGGCGGAATTCCAATGCTTCCTCAACTTTCACCTCCTCGGCTCCCCCGTCTTGTTCTGTGACGGTCGGCGATGGAACGGAACCATTCCCTCCTGCGTCCAAGAACTCCCGCCTGACCCCTCACCACCTTACTCTGGTCCCGAGGATGGACCCTTGCAAGAGTTTACCGTCCAGGACGGCACGAGCTGTGGTCAGTCACGAACCATCAGGCACGGACAACCCAGCTACTCTACAGAGTTGGATGACCGGGGTAACACGTACTGGGCTGTGGAATATCTGTGTGATCCTGGCTATCGGGTGCTTAGGAATGATAGACTGTTTTGTTCTGCTGGTGTCTGGATCGGTGAAGAGCCTCAATGTGTTGGTAGGTATAACATCCCAATGATCTTTTCCAATATTTGGCTTTGAATAGGTCCGTGGAGATTTAAGACATATATCGCACTCTTTATAACAGTATCGTGTACAAACATATTTCGATTTGTAGGGGACGTAACGAGAAGAGAAATAAGGCAAATCTTTCACTGCAAAATAGAGAGAAAGAAGTTCAGATTGAGAAAGATAGGGGTAGAGAGAGAGGGAGTCTGTGCCGAGTCTGTGATAGGGGGATGTGGGTGTGTATGTGCTTTAGTATATGAACTTGATGAGTTTGCTACGTGAGAAAGCACAGTCAGAGTAACAAGAGATTGAGGTAGAGGGAAAGGCTATATTGCAATGTGTGGAACAGACAAAACACATAGCAAGCAAGTGACTTTCTGCCAAACAAATGCGTTTCCCCTAACATTAATATAACAATTATAAGTACGTGTATACTGAGCTGAACGTAATTGTACGTCATTTAATTAAAGTAAAAACAAACGCAGTATATGATTAGATTTACAATGGTGTTTTAGTAACAGACTTTGCTTTGACATCATAAACAAAATATGACTTTTAAAAAGGTTGAGTAACTTAATGATTTATCTTATTGCTTGGAATAATCCTCTTCGTCCAGCTTTCTGTGGCATTAATAATGGGGGTTGTTCACACAACTGCCTTAGTATCAACGGGCGTGCAACTTGTACATGTAGACCAGGATATAGACTTCACATCAATGGGAGGAGCTGTAATGGTGAGTGTAGACGAGACACTGGGCCGTGTATACATTTAAGTCTTTGAATTCTTTTTTTAAACTGGAGAACGCATAAAGACTGAAATTGAAATTGACGTTGACATTGTAATAACTATCTTTTCATTTTACTGTCTGCAAGCTATTTAAATGTGATATTTTGATGGTCAAGTTTGATTTGTTAAATGTTTTAATTTGACTTTTCTATATTTAAGCATGATGTCTACATTATCGATATTCATATTAAGAAAATCTTCATTCAAAATTCGTCATCACTGTTCACAAAGTATCAATGGCTATATCGTAGAAGTGTAGTGGTCTGGTGGATACGTCTTACTGTGAATCACACGGTTAGCGATCTGAGTCCCGCCGCGGCGCTGATGTCCTTTGGCTAGATATTAATCTACATTTTCCAACCTCCACCCAGGTGTAGTAAATTGGTACCCGGTAGAAAATAATTCCTCTAGTGCTTTATCGCCGTATCACTTTAGCTCGGGTAAAGCCAGTGTATAATAATATGAGTACAGACCCCTCGTCGAGAACAGTATTAATATTGATGAGGCTATCTTGGGTAAACAAGACATATCATTTATACTATATTTTATTATTATTATTATCATGATAACTATTATTATCATTATTATTACTTCCTAGATGTGAATGAGTGCGCTCCAAACAGTGGACGTGGACCATGCTCTGAATCCTGCAGTAATCTGGAAGGTGGATACGAATGTAGGTGCCAGAGAGGATACAGACTCAACGTCGATGGGCATTCATGCTCATGTGAGTTATTTCGTTATTAACTTTGTAATACTCGTGTATTGAGAGTGAGGGTGGCGAGTCTAAATACTTGTGTAATGAGAGTGGGGTTGACGGGTCTAATACTTGTGTTATGAGAGACAGTGTGACGATTCTAATACTTGTATTATGGGTGACGAGTCTAATATTTGTGCATTGAGAGTGAGGGTGGTGAGTCTAAAAACTTGTGTAATGAGAGAGAGGTTGATGGTTTTAATACTTGAATTGTGAGAGGCAATGTGACGAGTCTAATACTTTTGTTATGAGGCGGAGGGTGACGAGTATAATAATTTTGTTATGAGAGGGAGGATGACGAGTCTAGTACTTGTGTTATGAGACGGAGGATGACGAGTCTAGTACTTGTGTTATGAGACGGAGGGTGACGAGTATAATACTTTAGCTTTGAGAGGGTGACGAGTCTAATACTTGTGTTATGAGACGGAGGGTGACGAGTCTAATACTTGTGTTATGCAACGGAGGGTGACGAGTATAACAGTTTTGCTTTGAGAGGGTGACGAGTCTAATACTTGTGTTATGAGACGGAGGGTGACGAGTCTAATACTTGTGTTATGCAACGGAGGGTGACGAGTATAACAGTTTTGCTTTGAGAGAGTGACGAGTCTAATACTTTTGTTATGAGACTGAGGGTGACGAGTCTAATTCTTGTATTATGAGAGGGTGGCTGACGAGTCTAATACTTGTGCTATGAGAGGGAGGGTGACAAGTTTATTACTTTTGTTTTGAGAGGGTGACGAGTCTAATATCTGTTATTTGAGAGGATGACGAGTCTACTAGTTGTATTATGAGATGGATGATGATGAGTCTAGTACTTGTGCTATGAGAGGGAGGGTGACGAGTTTATTACTTTTGTTTTGAGAGGGTGACGAGTCTAATATCTGTTATTTGAGAGGATGACGAGTCTACTAGTTGTATTATGAGATGGATGATGATGAGTCTAGTACTTGTGCTATGAGAGGGTGGCTGACGAGTCTAATACTTGTGCTATGAGAGGGAGGGTGACAAGTTTATTACTTTTGTTTTGAGAGGGTGACGAGTCTAATATATGTTATTTGAGAGGATGACGAGTCTACTAGTTGTATTATGAGATGGATGATGATGAGTCTAGTACTTGTGCTATGAGAAGGAGGGTGACGAGTTTATTACTTTTGTATTAAGAGGGTGGCGATTCTAATATCTGTTTTTTGGGAGGGTGACGAGTCTTATACTTGTGTAATGAGAGGCAGGATGACGAGTGTCATAACACAAGTGTTAGTTAATATTTGTATGAGCTGTAGCAGTACTACTACTACTACTACTAGTAGTAGTAGTAGTAGTAGTAGTATGTATGTATGTATGTATTTATGTATGTATATATATATATTGAATTAGAGTAGTGTTTACAACTAAAAGCTACGTAGTATATATGTATTTTATAATGAGGATGCTTAATCTATATTTGATCTTTACGACTTTAGATCAGCCGACTGATCCGTGTTCTCGCATTCGTTGTGCGTACGGATCATGCGTGTCCGTCAACGGGTCAGCGTCGTGTCAGTGCGCAAGAGGTTTTGTGCTTTCTCGAGACTTACGGACATGCACAGGTATGATTTATACACAGGGAGATTAGATTGGAAAATTTGGAATGTGATAAAAGTAAAATATTGATCCAGTTACTTGTCCATTGTTTCACAAGGAATTTTGGGCGAGAAAAGATTCTATTTTATTCTGCTGTATCTGAACCCCGGATCTGAACAGATACATTGAATATTTACCAATACAACAAGCTCAAGATTTTCTGTGATCTTCGGAATTAGTTATATTTTGGGGTGTGATATTTTGTAAGACGTTAAAATTTTTAACATTCTAGGTATTAAGCCTCGAATATAATATTTGCATTTACCTGTAATTTCTTCTTTTCAAAATTCGCATACATACAAATGAAAATTTTCAGCCGTGCTGAATAAGTTTAATCCTCATGTCTTTTTTAAGTGCCTCGTTACAAATTATTTCAATTACCTGTAAAGATATCACTTTACTTCGATAGTCAGAATACGATTTGCACAAATTAGTTGTTGCTAGGTAGAATAAATAGTATGGGTTGTCATACATAACAACAATTTGCATTCTAACTATTGAAATACAATCATTCGAAAAAGGTGAATGTAGTAATTTTTAACGCGTTAACGGGGCATTTAACAAAGACTTATGCATTAACTTTAACTACATTACACAAATGGTCACATTAACCACAAACGTGGGGTGGGGTTACGATGTATGATGTTCTGGGAAGGTGTATGTGTTTAAGTGTGGTAGGTTAAATCAGTGCCGATATTATGGGCAGGTTTGTTGATTTCTGAGTACATATATTGTTAGTAGATCCCATGGATGCAGACTTGCAGGTAAACGACAATGCCGTCGTACTTTTGGATAGTTGGCGTCGGCACACATTAACATTAGCGAAGATTAAGGTGTGGGTGGTTTCAAATTCCCGAAGAGCAGAGATTTTGCAGAGAACCATGAAGCATAATTTGTGTGTTTTATAACTGAATGAATTCTTGAAATCTATTCATTCATCCATCGCTCTTTGCATTCATTCATTTATCCATTGTTCACCCTCCTTTCCATCCATCTTTTCGTCCATCTTTCCATTCATTTCTCAGACATCGATGAGTGTAAGACAATGAGAGGACGGTGTGAGTTCGAGTGTCGGAACACATACGGTAGTTTCCAGTGTCTTTGCCCTGCAGGCTGGGCCTTGAATGACGGGGGAAGATGTCGAGGTAGGCTTGGGATAAAAACAGGATCCTCATTCCATAATCAGGATTCCAGGGAGGGGTGGTAGGGACGGGCTATCATTCTCAAATTGTCAGTTTCCCAGCAGGCTTATTATCATCAAAACCCGATGGTCATCCAAATGACCGGCTTATTAAACGGTACAGTGGCATAGTCAAATAAAAACACATCGTGGCTGAATCTCAGTTCCTTTCCCCCTATAGAGCGGAGAAGGGGAGGCGGATGAGCACCATGGTCACTACATTAAATACATAGTTAATCCCGTAATGATTATTAGTGATGGTTGGATACAACCGAGACCCAAGGATTTATGTTCCTGATCAAACGGTAGTATATTATCTGTCATCAAATCTCAATGCAGCCTCGATATCATGTTACCTTGGAAACAAAGTAATATGGTACAAAGACTAATTGGATTATACATCCACACAATATGTTACTAGGTGAAAAGACGTTAGAGTACCAAGTCACAGTCGAAATGTTAAAACCAATTTTATTTCCATTTCCTTCTCTTGTTTATATCATATTTGCCAAGTCTTTAAGGAAATATTATCACATACATCAATTCAATTCAATTCACTTCAATTCATTTATTTCCACAAAACTCATAAAAACAGTAAAATACTTTATAACATGCTAATTTAGTATATGTGGAGGGACTAGCAAAGGCCGAATGCCTATCGACGAAGGTTTGCTAATCCCCAGTGAGATTAAGATAAGTTAATAATTAAGCTAAAATAGTATGCACTCATTTAGAACAAAATATGGGACAATGTAAAAAAGCATATTTCGATCGTATTATTCTGACCAAGCATATGATTTTTTTTTAGATTACAGAAAGTAGTAAACGTTCTTCCATTTCCATCCATGCACATTTCTACCATTAATTAAAGTAGTGACTCTAATTTCACAGAATGTGTTATCAATACCTACGTGAGCTCTAATGGTAAGCGGTGCGTGGCATGCCCCGAGAACTCCAGGACTCGTAGCTCTGGTCAGACATCTAGTGTAGCATGCATCTGTGATGAAGGCTTTGAGAAAAACCCAGGAACAAGTTCCTGTGATGGTAAGATAAATATATCATACACTTTGATTAATCTCCTACGCACCCCATATGCATGAAACTATGGTTTTGATTTGTTTTTTAATCGTCGTAGAGTATTTCATACATGAAATCATCATTGCTGCCTAAATGAGAGTCATTTTAATGAATAAAATGTCCATAAGTTATCTAAGTGAATAATATAACTACTAAAAATTACCCAAGTGAATACTATAACTACTAACAATTAATCAGCTTAAATATTGTAGTTTATGGATACATGTTACTCTATTTTCTTTATGAAAAGAGATATATCTTTGTGGATGCACAATTTGTAAAATCCTACTCCGGAAACCACCTAATTTTGTAACTGGATCTAAAACGCCATTTTACTTAACACGTGTATAATAACTGTGTGAAACATCATATACTCGTAATTATTATCCGACTTCACCTGCATATACCAAATTTACTTGGATTTACTTGGATTTAGAGACGTAAAGCTTAGCTTATTTCCCCCCCCCCCCCCGTCACGTCGGGTAGTTTCAGATAGGGTGAAAACTTCAGTGGATGAGTTTTCAAGTGCCTCTCAAAAACAGATTTGAACATGTTAACACTAGTGGCAGAAAATGCGTCCTCTAGTAAAGCATTCCAATTATTTATGCTTCATACTTGATAAACACTTTCCAAAGATGTATATATATATATATATATATATATATATATATATCTTTGTGTTCTATGTGTTATATGGAATATATACCCCATACATTTACCCAAAGTATTTCAGCATAATATCCTTCCACCTTATTAGATATCAATGAATGTACCACACGTAACGGAGGATGCCAGCATTTATGTCAGAATACGGACGGATCATACTTCTGTAAATGCAGGCCTGGTTATGCGTTAGATACTACGGATCAACATTCATGTATAGGTAAGCTAATAAATGCTACATACAATTAGGGATAAATTGAATGTTGCTAGATAAAGGGCCGTATATATGGGAAGATTATTCGAGGTAGCATGCACTCACCTCCAACTCAACTCATAATTCCACACAAATTGAAATGTTTGAACTTTGACAGACAATTATGATGTACTGTCGATTTTCATTTCTAGTTTCCTGAATTTCAAATAATAATAATAATAATAATAGTGGCTTCTTATATAGCGCACATGTCCGTCACGTTGTGACGCTCCTGGCGCTGCCCCGATTATTACCCTGGCTTTAGCAAGGCAGCCACTGCGGCGCACTAGCATTTCAAGGAATTAATTCCTGCCAGGTACCCATTTACATCACCTGGGTTGAGTGTGGCAAATGTAGATCAATGTCTTGCCAAAGGACATTAGTGCCGCGGCGGGACTCGAACCGCGGACCATAAGATCGACAGTCCGTCGACGTATCCACTCGACCACGACACCTCTACAGGGTATTTAAACAAATAAATAAATAAACTAATTACAAGAATGTTTTTAGTGAGTTCTGATTAAAATATTAACACAGTTGTTGAATTAAATGCAAGAATGTTTCCTTTGCGAGTCACAAAAAACCAAAACGCACTACTCCTTTTGTTAACATGACTTTTGTTCTTTCACTCGATAGCCGATTTGCAAAGAGCTATGGTCGATAAAATGATCAACTTCAGTGATTTACTTTGGCATACATTTCCTATTTAAATCAGTACGGCAGTTGATACTTTTACTTATTTATTTCATTTGTAGATTTGAAAAGATGATTTTTACGTTTAAGATATTACAGCCAACATTCTGACCTTGCTGATGAGTACATTGACATTGAAATAAAGTCAGACAAAGTCTAAGATAATAATAATAATAATAATAATAGTAATAATAATAATAATAATAATAATAATAATAATAATAATAATAATAATAACTTCTGCTTATATAGCGCTTTTTGTAAGAGATTTATATCAAAGCGCTTTACAAAAAAAAAAAATAAACAGAAAACGACAAGAGAACAGTGGTGAAATTATCACACATAAGATACCAAGGTGAGGTAACAATTTAAGAACTAGATAAATATGACTTTTCCATCAGATTGGTTTTTAATTTTGGTCTAAACAAAGTAATATCAGACATACCACACATGAGCTATAAATTATTTGAAATTTATCTTTCTTATGTCATTGATATTGGTTTACAGAGATAGATGAGTGTGCCCTGATGAGCAATGGAGGCTGTCAACATGAATGTAGGAACTCACCCGGAAGTTATTCATGCACATGTATGGAAGGTTATGCAGTCGACCCTTACGATCGGTATCGATGCACAGGTATAATCAACTTTTAAAGTTCATTAAATGTATTGATTTTAATATTCCTTGACTGGACTTTAATTTGAAAGGTAGAAAATTCAAATACCAAATATGGTATGATAATCTTGTGGAAGGTTAGCCTTGTGCTAAACAAGTAATCCAATAAAGTCCATGCACTACTACTGCTCATAATAAATTTCCTTGATTGATTTTATATATTCAATGACTTCAATTTCAACGACTTCAATGGTAGGGTAGAGAGTTCAAACCTCTGCCCAGTACAAAGTAGAGTCGTTTGAAAAGACATTAATCTACGTTTTAATACTATTCTCAATCCTGCTGATAATGTTCGAGCGATGTGCTACATTAGGAGCGACGAACCTATTATGCGAGAAGTGAATATTGTTATTATCATCAACCACAATGTGTCCTTTTGAAAACAACAAACCAAAAACTGACTGCTTTCAATTGAATACCTCATCATTGCTGTAGACGACCATGTAAGAGATGTTTATACAATTCGTTTTTGTTCAAGAATGAACGTGCAAAACATGATTCAAAGTACTTTTTTTAACGACACAGTTCGCACGCATCATCGGGTTGAGCGAAGTTTTGCTCTCATATGATATATAACGAAAGCATAACAGTGCAACCGAAAAGACAATATATACGACATGATCTCGGACCTTGACAATAGTATAGTTTAATTAAGGGTTGAGAATACAAGCAGAGGATACCCTGGAACTTAAAAGTTTTTTTTTTTTGTTGCTTCAAATATAAATTACACTGACTTAAAATTTGTAATTCATCTGTCGATCGTGAAAATATTTCTTTTCTTTGATAGATGTGGATGAATGTTCCTTTGATAGCTCCAGATGCGAGCAAGTTTGCATCAATACTGACGGCGGGTTTTACTGCGAATGTAACTCTGGATTCACACTCAATGCTGACGTTAGAACATGTATAGGTAAGACATTCGAAAACCCGACTATGATGACTATGGGCGATTTTTAGGAGTAGCAACAGATTCTGGGGGTTGAACCGCGGAGAAAGAGGGAGAGAAAACAAATGAGGAGAGAGAGAGAGAGAGAGGTGGTCGGGGAGAGGGAAGAAGAGAGGAGGGAGAGGAAGAGAGATAGGGAGAGAGAAAGAGAGTTAACATTTTGTCTAACGTAACATATTAGATATCGCACAGTGATGATACAAAATGAAATGTATTTTTTAATATCAAGTTTATTTTTGTATCAATAGTTTGAGTTTCATATATATTTTCGCAAAAGACTTAAATACATAACTGAAAATTATCATTTATTCCCATTTAGTTCAGACTATGATTAAAATAAATATTTGTAAGACATACACGTGTGCTATCTACAAGTAAATGTCGTCAATAGAAAGTATAGTATGCATCTGACTCATTAACAATTTCATATGCTTTTAAAAATATAAAAATACACACTTTTGATGGCAGCTGATGTGTGCCCGCCCCTGCCATCACCAGACAATGGTCTGATCAACAGATCTTGTAGCATCGGACTAGGTGGAGAGCGTTTGCGAGGTAAGTATGATCTTTCCTTTTGAAAAGGGTGAATAAACATTGTATCTTTCCAAATCAATAATTTGTTATTTTATTATTTGGTAAAAAATGGTGCAAAATAAAATGTATCGTCTCTTCGGCATTATTTTCATTTGCAAAACGATAAAGATGAAATTAACTAACCTCATTACATGTTATCAAAGCTCACGTTTACATTATTTCAGCTAAATATAATAGAACGTCAGGAGTGGCAATGTGTCTGACATGATTGCTATATCCACTAGTATTGAATCATGGTTGAATATCACTGTAGTATGCAACATACTACAACTATTATGCCACTAATTATCCAACCTAGGCGGATGAATGAAGCCTGCATGTGTTATGTGTCAACGTGCCCCTCCCCTGTTCCATAGATGCAGGCCGGGTTACAGTGAAACACACTCCGTCCCTCGGATAGGACGTTAAATGGAGGCCACAAGTTGAGGAGAGTCACCACTTTTGCGCGTTAAGAACCCACTGCACTTTTTGTTTAAGATTAGGGGGAAACCCCGGTGTTGTGGTCCACCTGCACACCCAATTATTTATACCGGGAGGAGAGACCCGAGGGTCATAGTGATTCAGTTCACTTTTGCCTCCCAGGCACAGGTGACACCAAATACTAATAATAGTTGTAACCATATTCCATCTATTCAAATATATCTAGACACGCTGGGTTTAAGAGGATTGTCCTAGCTTAGTAAATGCAGAGCCAAGTAAACTAATTAACCAAGTCAGTGGTGCATGGAGGGGGTGAAACCAAGAAAAGGGAGGGGTAGGGATTGTGGAAAGGGAAAAGAAAAGGCAAAAGGGAAGATCTCCCGCTCGGTCGCTCTGTCCCCTCGTATTTCATCCATTAGTCTCAGTACTAATGCTCTCTTAGTGACTTCTTGCTGCGCTTTATCTGAACACACCCTATTCATATTTTTTTCTTCAATATCCTTCCTCCATCATCTTTCTATTCGTATGTTTCGAGCCGGAAGAGCATTAGCTCATACTTTAACACAAGTTTAATGCCTTCTGGCTCTGAACAGACGCTTTGTTTCTTCCAAATAGTTGGATCGACGTGTGTCTATGAGTGTGATGTTGGATTCGGATTGAAAGGAGACACGGAACGGTCATGCTTATCGGGTGGTCAGTGGTCTGGTGTTACTCCTATGTGTGTCAGTAAGTTAACGAATTCAACAAGTGGCGTCAAATATAATTATATATATTTATATACACTTAGCAACAAAAGTGGACACTATTTATAATTAAGATTTTCAAATAAATATTTGATATAAACTTATCTTTCATATAAACATAAACATACATTCATACTCTTTAAGCTGATATGCAATTGGAATCATACCATTCACGTAAGAAGGAGAGTGGCCATTTATTTAACGGTGAATGAGTCTCTAAAAGAAAATTGCAAAAATGGGGCATCTGGCCATTCAAATGATTATAAGCATATCCATTTTGAACAGTCAAATACAAAATAACGAAGAGAAAAAAAAATCAATCACAAGAAATACGAAAGTAGGGGCATCTCCACCGTGCATGCCTGAGACTACAGTTTGAAATCCAGATCTTAATTCTCCTTATTGTTTTTCATTGTTTGCTTTCATTGCTGAGCGAGACTGTCTTACATATACACATGTTCATTAAGATATAAATGGCTACTTGATTTTTTCTATTTTCTTAATCAAGCGTGAAAGTTTTAGACTCGATTTTAATTGATGTTGGTAGAGTGGTAATCTTCTTTTAATTTGATGTTTTGTTATATTTTATTGACGGCTAGCTTGTGCGAAACTTTTGAACAATACGAGTGTCCAGAGATTTTCTCACGTTGCTTGAAGAACAAATATATTGGAAAATACATGCTCTCCATGAATATTTTGCACATCTGATTCAATGTTTCCTCACCTTCCATTAAAACAAAAATTCCGCGCTACGCCACTTTTACCACCAACCAAAAATTAAATTGAAGATATATGCGTATTCCTCATTATTCCTGACAGGGATACAGTGTCCAACGCTCTCGGCGCCAGAGCATGGTAGAACGACGCCAGAGGTTTGCCGGCAAGGGCCCATGGCATCCGGGTCGACGTGTCGATTCAAGTGTACTAGTGGGTATAACCTGCTGGGACGTGCTACCCTGAGGTGCAACAAGAAAGGGGTGTGGTCGAACAGGGCCCCCATCTGCTCAAGAGGTGAGATCAAATTAAAGCAAGATGATTTCACGTAGTTTCGAATGTTTCGGAAAGGACTTATACTAAGTAAGATTGATTTTAAATCGTTTATTCCATTTCTAACGTTACATAGTGGTGTAGTGGCTCATTCATTTGACTCTCAGTCCAAGGGTTGAGGGTTCGAATCCAAACATGGGACTAACGATTTTGACAAAATATAAATCCACATGTGCCACTCACCACCCATCAGGCAACTACTGGGGTAATAATAATTGTATAGGGCCTCAGAAGAACATCATTAATGCTGATGAGGCTTCCTTGAGTAAACAACTATACTATTATTATTAATATTATTATAATAATAATTATTATTATTATTATTATTATTGTTATTGTTATCATTGTTATAATTATTATCAATGGGCGAATAGTCAAGATCTAGAGATCTTTAATCTTAATCCCAACCAGGCTCTGATAAGTTTTTGTATTTTGTACGCTTATAAGAAACAGGGGCGGATCTAGCTTTTTGCCAAGGGGGGGGGGGGTTTGACCCAGTGGTGGATCCAGGATTTTCCACAAATCGTGCCGTTTTACTGTTTTACTTTTTTTCTTTCTTTTTCCCACTTTTTTCCCTCCCCCTCCCCTTTTCCCTTGTTTTCCTCACTTGGTCGCCCAAGGGGGGGGGGGGGGGGGTTGACTGCCAACCCCCCCTAGATCCGCCCCTGAGTAACTGTTATTACTCTATGTGTTCCTTTTTTAAATGCTTTTTCTTCTTCATAGTTTATCATACACAGTCATGCACGTTTTATGTATTGAATTTTGTTTTGGTGAGTGATAAACGAATCTTGAATATTGAATCTGCAACCAAGATGCCCTAATACGATGTCCTGATGACGTCACGACCCGGTTACCACGTGGTGCATCTGAGATGGTCATCGACCTTCCCGATCCCGACCATCTTCTGGACATGGTCAATACCACCCATTCATTGACTGATCAGTTGTTTGGTGCTGGTCAAACAATGGTCACGTTTACAGCCTACACGATTGACCTCAATACTCAAGTGTCCTGCACAATGACAGTGACTGTCATAGGTAATATTTTTCATTCATATTTGATATTACAGTATCGTCTTTGAAATCAATGGTTTGTGGTGTATTACCCCTCTCCATCATTCTGTTAGGAAAAAAGTCAGTCTCCTGTAATAACTTACAAAATTGATTATATCAGGTCGCCAGAGGCCATGAGCCTGAGCAGCCGAATTGGCTATGGCTAATTAAAAATCAATCAATCTCTTACATATCCCACATCTAATCTAGTGAAACTTATGATCAAACAATTAAAATACTAATAGCTTTGATTAGCATAATATCCCTAAAATAATCCTATATGTTGATAAACGAAGAGACAAGAAGTGTGTTCGCCAGTTATAATATTACCTTTTCCGGAAGTTTTATCAAAATAAGGCAACGATATAAAAGAATGGTTAGTAGGCTTATTTAAAGAGAAAAAAAAACTACATTCGTGTTTTATCATTACAAATTGCAACAATGCACAAGAACTGCCTTGTGTAGCCCGCTTCTGGCGCTTCATGACATCCAATGAAACAAACCCGCCCTTCCACTCACATAGGGAGAAAAAAAGAAGACCCGAATAAAAATATCTCATTTGCATACCCGACGATGGAAACTATAAATTCGTCTTTTCTTCCCTTGAAATTTAATTCAAACAGACAAAGAGTCACCTAGAGTAGTACAGTGTCCACAGACACACACTATAAAGACTGAACAGCAATATGTGACGTCACTTGATGTACCACAACCTATCTTCAGTGACAATGTGGGTGTCACCAACGTTACAAGGACCATAGTGAGTTTACTACATGCTTATACAGTGGGTTTATGAGACGAAATAGCGCACGTGTGTGTATGTGTGTGAGTGTGCGTGTGCGGTGTGCGCGTTTGTGTGTGGGTGTGCGTATGTGTGTAAGATAGAGAGAAAGACAGACATACAGACTGAGAATGAGAAAGAGGGAGGATGTCGGATAAGAGGAAAACAAATAGTGAAATGAGAAAACTATATGAAATAGTTGATGCGTGTGTGTGTTTGTGTGTGTGATAGAGCAAGAGAAAAAGGAGATGGGGGTAGGGATGGGGGAACTATTCAATTAAATCATTACAAAGTCTGATATAAAATTCAAACCATATGAAAATATGCCTGGTTATTATTATGAGCCCAAACCGGGCTTTACTTCAGACGTAAAATGGTTAAACCAACAAACATTGTTGTTTGATAACTCTTATCATTTCCCCTAATGTTTTGTAATTCTTTGTTTGCTTAGGAACCTGCTGGTCTCATCACATTGGGTACATATACGATAAAATATGTTGCATCTGATAGCAATGGTAACACGGCTTCTTGCAGCACATCTGTTACTATACAATGTAAGTTAAGACAAGAGTTATCCTAATATTGTATATCATATGCGAATTTCACATTTTCATTGAAATTACAAATGTATCTAGTAAAGAAACACATAGTTCTCAATGGGAAGTTTACACAGTTCAGGTATTTCCCCAAAAGCAGGTAACAGATGTTATACAAAAGATTTCTGTGGAGTAAATTAAAATGTTTTCATTCTGCTGTAGTTTCTAAATTACGATTGCCTGTCACGTATATTATGTATATTACTTGTGTATACATTGTTTGTATTTTTAGGACCCTCAATGACAGCATTGTTTTCACCTTAAGTCAAGGCTGATGGAAGTTATAACTTATAAGGGTGACTTGCGATCATTAACGGAGCATTTTGGAGTCGTGATGAACTTAATTATTCACTTTTTAAAACATGTAGAATAGTCCAATTTTGTAGTTCTTCGTATTATTTAAATTAGTCTTTTTTATTGTGATTTTTATTTGAGAATGGGTGGTCTGGCTGTGAATTAACTAAATGTATCTGTAACCCGATTGCAAAGATATTCAAGAAGCAATCCTTGGGCAATTCAAATAGCATTGTCTTACATCTTTGAAATGTGCAAACATACCATAATGATGAAAGGATATAGACACTACAATAAGGTACTGAACTTACCCTTGAGTCGGTTTTGTAAAAGCCTTTGCGATTTTGTTCTATTTTCTATTTCTAAAAAAAAGTCTTATTTTATGTATCTGATATTAAAACGCAGCTCTTTCTGAAGATTGCGGGATCCTTGATGGTCCTTTGAACGGCAACCATTTCTGCACACCATGGCTCAATGGACAGATATGTCAGCCCACCTGCTTGCCAGGTTTCTTTTTCTTCGATGGTCCCTTGGCTACACCGACGTACATCTGTGGTCGGGACGGGCGTTGGGACCCAGCGAAAAAAGCGCCAGACTGCACGGCATTCTCATTCGTTGGGAACACGTCAGTGCCGTGTGCACCCGGGAAGGAGATGAAAAGTTATCCTGCCATGGATGGGGTGGCATGCAGTAAGATTGACTTCTATAGTGTACCGAAGCTGTGACATCATAAACATTTTTTTAATAGAATTTAACAATTTGAACTTCATTTTCTGAAAGAGCATAACAAATGATGTCCAAATGTTGAAAACCAATTGAATGTGTTGGCTGAGATATGACCATCCGAATAAATAGATATCAATAGGAAATCACTGTTAATTTGCCCTGGTTCGTAATATTATGAACCAGAAACAGTGATTTCCTATTTAAATAAATTCATTCGGATGGGAACACAACACATTCAATTGGTTTTCAACATGGGGACATTATTTTTATGCTCTTTCGGAAAATGAAGTTCAAATTTGAGAACTCTAAAAACTGTTTTTTGATGACGCACGCTTGACCACTCTATAAACCTAATTCAGTTAAGACGCGGCAAAACCGCATTCACATTTCTGTACTTTATTAACCTTTTAACCTTTATTGCAAGCAGTTGCCATTCATTTACCACTAAAAAATTAAAAAATAAGAAATTAAAAATATTTTAAAATGGGATTTTTTTTTTCTTGCGACAGTTTACCGCGATATATGTGAACAAACCTTTATATTTTTTGTTATTACTCGTAAAGAAATCCCTACAAAACGGAAATGTTGACGACCAGGCCTAAACAAATCTTCAATGTAGCTCTTTCAATCATGCAAACACGATAATCAACACAAGTCCTTTATACAAATTAAAAAGATACTAAAACCAAATCTAAACCCTTTTTAATTTTGGTGCCTTAAGTCAATTTCGATGCGTTCATCTTAGGTAGATGTAAAGCTAGCGTTGATTTAAGTCTGAAAGAGTGCGTCCCCATTAGAAAGTATTCACTGTGACTGATTTATTCCTTTATGGCAGCTTTCTTTTTAATACTATCTTCCTTTACCACTCTCTTTTTCTCCAACTATCTCTCTCTCTCTCTCTTTCCTCCCTCCCTTGCTCTCCCACTCTGTCTCTTCATTTTTCAACTTTCATTTCTCCCTTATTAACTCTGGTATATCCATTTGCCTCTCTTTTTCTATCACTCTCTCTATCTCGTTTTCATTTTCAACTTTCAATTATCCCTTAATTCCATCCACCCCCTCCTCTCTCTCTCTCTCTCTTTCTCCCCCTCCCCCTTCCTCCCCTCTCAATCTTATGTTATTATTGTAATCAAAATAAAAATTAAATCCATTTTTCTTGTCTTCCACGTAGACATGCAATTCTCTCTGATCACAATCACCTCAGTCTTTCACGATTCTTTTCCTATATAAATTTGACAGTGGATTGTCCTCGTGGTATGTACTCATCGGACCTCGGACCTGCCACCCAGCCCATCTGCAAACCATGTCCTCAGGGTCTCTATCAGGATAGGCAGGGTCAAATCTCCTGCCATGTATGTCCTAGCGGTACTACCACCACCTCCACAGGCGCCACCAACGTCAGACAATGCAAAAGTAAGGAAATCGGTTACTTAAATTGTTCGTCTGATTCTAGTAAGTCTACAAGACTTAATTGGGTAATTAACTCTTTGTATGCCACACATATAATCTCCATGCCCCACATTGTATTTATCATGGGATCATGGGAAGATTATTTAACTGTTTCCAGAGCAAAATTATTGATGAATGAATTTAATTTAATTTCTTTCTTTCTCATCAATACAGGTCTCTCGGCACAAGCTATCGAAGCAGAACCACAGCCCTAATCTTAGCTCACTGGGAATCATTAGCACAGGATATGCCTGCCTTTCTTCTAGAGAATTTCATGATATCTACTCATCCCTTCTTCATATTAGTTATGCCTTAACTTAGCAATATCAGCAGATTAACTTTTTCAATTTTGGCAGAGCTCTGTTCTTTCCTTTTTCAAGTGCAAGTGATGCTAAACTGTCCATTCTAAAGGCTTGTTCAGACATGGCACTGTTAAACCTCCTCAAAACACCCTGCTGCATTTGTTTCCAACTGCGCACAACAAAGGACTTGTGCATATTATAAGATAGAGAAATGTGAAGGATATTACACTTTTTAGGCGGTGTCACATAGAAGAATCCCTTGAAAAATCCCTTGAAAAATCCTTTCAAGGGAAAATTTTCTTGCTTCGTTAGAGGATTTTTAATGAGATAGTTGATGACAGACAGCAATAAAGAGGATAACTAAAATCCGGATATTTGGCCTCTGTGTGACATCGCTTTATATCTGAACTAGGCCGTAGGTCAACTTACAAATTTGAATGGTACAGTAACCTGGATGAAGTTCCCCTAATAAAGGTCATTGAGATGTGTCAAATCATCTTATGCTAATGAGTGGAAATGAGTAACTGCTAGGCTCACTCAAGTGATAAATTCACTTTCTTAGTATTTACATGTACTATTAATGCAATTTTGATAATATATGTACTTTATGCAATCAAACAAATAACATATTTTGATATGAAACTTTTGTGGAATGGCATATCTCAATTTTCAATTTTTCAAAGCCACACAAATAATGACACATATTGCTTTGGTGGAAGCACCCTCCCAAAGGGCAATTAAGTGGGAGTAGGTAGAAGGGGGGGGGGGGGAGTGACCATTGTACCAAAGCTCTTATATCAGGGGGCTTTGAAGCCAGTTACATGCAGAACATGAAGTTGGTGGCTACAGTCATAACAAACAAATCTTAGTAACAACAACTTAACAAAAGTATTTCAAATTTTATTTGAGCTATGTTTAACATACTTGTGATGGATATCAAATGCCTAAATGTACAAAGAAATCCAAAACCATTTTACCTTCATTAAGATTGTCCCTTGTACTTTTGCCATCTGTGCTTTTGTTACCATACTATGTAAATTATATCTTGCCTTCTCAAGACTTCATACATATACCGTACAGTAGACATTATAATAACACACTCTGTGGGATGGTGGGGAACCTAGAAGTAATCATAACATTGAAATATGGCTTAAAGATAAATTTGAGTTCTGGTCATGCGATTGCATTATGTAAAAATCAATCAGAAAAGGTTGGTCATCAGCTAGCATATAAGTATTGGTGTGTAATGCAAGGTTCTGGAATCATCAAAATGATAAGAAATTTGGCCCAGTCTTGGTAAAGTTACAAGCACTATACACTAAAAGATGTTTATGGGACTACATAAATATGTGGCATAAAAATCTCTCCTGATTTGTATGTTGTTACATGCCATATTTAGAATATGAAGGCATTTGAAGAGCCATGCTTTTCAGGAAAAATGTTTTATCTGATGTTCTTCCACACTTGCATAATAACAATGGTAACGCTCACAAATTATTTTTCACCTCTTCCCAGAACTAAACCTTCAATCTCTTTAAACACAATAGAATTGAAAGCTCTTTGAGTGGGCAAACTTATAAGAGTTTTTATAGACATACTCTAAACAAACTTTTCACTGTAATGAAGTTTCATGATTGATTAATAAATATTACTTTCCACAAAAGATATTCATGCTTGTTGCCCTTAATATAACTGCCTTAAACTGCTATTGTAAAATAATCCTTTCATCTGATGCTCTTTCTAATCCCAATCTTCTACATTTATAGGTTTTGGCTAATTAACAATTTATAGTTCTTTAAAAGGCACAGGTATTATAGGACATGAGAGGAAGTGGTACTTGAAAAGGTATGTGTTATATTTTTTTTCTGGCATTATTACTAGACCAGTTTGGAGATACCTCATGTCCAAGTGACTGCCAAATATCCAAATATCTTTTACATATGGAGAAGTCCTACTTTGTGCATTTTTAGCAGGGAAAAAAATACTTTACAAATTTCGGGGGCTACTTTTCAAGCTTGCTTGAATGAAAATAATACTCTTTAATTTGTTTGGTATAGAACTCTATGCAATTTTTTTGTGGCTCTTTTATGACTTTCGGGGGCTCTTTTTAGCATTTCAGGGGCTTATTCGCCCAGAGCCCCGTGTATTTTTTCCACTGATTTTTAGAATAATCACTGCCAAAATGATGGAGGTCATTAATGAATAACTTTCCATTTGCCCTCTTGAAAATAGTTTTCCACCTGTGTTCCATAGAATGTGCCATTGATGTATAAAGGAATAATGATTACATAACTTTCATGAACTCACATCCAGCAGTCATCTCAATGGGTTTTACAGTTTATGCAAATGACCTAACCAGAAACTGTCTCTGAACTGGTTTATTCCCCGATACCACAAACAAATTATTTCACTCTAAAATGGTATTTGCACAAAAGAATCTAATACCAATTTTCTTAACTCCTGGAAACATGCAAAACTTGAACCAAAATTATGCAGACAATGCTTGTACATCAGTGATTCTGAAGAAGCGGTCATACCTGAGAGACACCTACTTCAGAAAGATTGCTCGAGGCTTCCTTGACTTTTCACAATATCTACCTTATGCAAGTCAAGACACACATAACCAATGGTAAAACTGCTTGTTTGGAGTTGGAATCGCTCAATATTTTCTCTCACATAAACCATTCACAAGTTAGCTTTGATAATCTCTAATAACAGAACCACTACGTAAAAATCCAGTCATCTCTTCTGCATTTTGCTTGCTTCAAGAGCCTATTCTAACTGAAACAAAATGGTTTGAAGATTCCTTCTTCCTCACTGAAGCTATCTCTGACATCACTCAAAATGAACTTACCCATAAGAAAGTGTATTTTGGGCTATAAGATTTTACTAACATTATCCTTCTCGCGTTCTTTCAAGTGAGCATCTAGGATTTCCCCAAACTCTTCTCTCCCGAGAAGCTGGTAGGCGACCGACAGAAGCATTCCGATCATCGAATGAAAACGTTCATTTCCAAAGCAGAAGAGATCTAAGCCCAGCTCGTAGCCCTGGCCGTAGTCGCACTCATCGTTAGCAAACTGGATCAAGGTGATGATCTCCTGAAGGCTGTCTGAATATCGAGCTCTCACCTGCTCAGTTTCACTCTCAACGATCTTCTTCAGGATCTTCTTCAAGTCACCTAGGGTCAGAGGGGAAGGAGATACAGTTAAACGTGCTTTAGTGACCACCTGTCTATAAAGACCACATTTTTTGTTTCCCTTGAAAATGGTTTCCCATTGAAACATATATTAAAGGAACCTGTCTACAAAGACCACCTGTCTACAAAAAAACACTTTTTGTGTTTCTCCTGGGTGGTTGCTATAGACAGGTTTGACTGTACATCTTGAGAAAACGTCTTAAATTGTTATTTGCAGTAACGACAATCAACTAAATTCAGCTATTCATGAATACATAAAATGTAATCATATTGTAATTTACAGTAAGAACATGACAGTTACCATGAAGAATGGTCATATATTACAGCAAGAAACATAACTACTACAATTGCATGAACTTCCAAACAGTTGTCTTTGAGTAGCTTAAACAGATGTGAAAATATCCACAACTCAATTTAATCAACTTAAGAGAGGTTTGAAATTCCACTAGCTTACAGTACAAAACATATAATAACATTAGTGGGTTCTTGTAAAGTGCTCATGTCTGCCAGACTTGCCACTTTTAGTGCTCCACAATTATTACCCCAGGTTTAGCATGGCTAATATTAAATGTGCTCTAGCATTTCAAGGAATTCATTTCTGCCAGGTACCCATTTACCTCACCTGGATCTTGTGTGGCAAATAAAGATTGCCAAAGAACATTAGTGCCGAGGCAAGACTCGAACTGCAAACCATGTGATCCACAGTCCCGAGACATAACCACTAGACAACAACACCTCCACCTTATGTTATAGAATGACATTTGAATTCTGGTAGACCTGTCCAAGAGCCCTAAACCTCACTGAATTGTTTAATCCCAAGTTCAAACATCTTTTATTAAAAAAAAACACATTAACGAATGCAAGTTTGCCACCAATTTTACACTCCATAATAAGAAAAGACAATTACCATCTGTTTCTGGAAGTTCCCTGTAACCGACCCCCGTACTGTCCAAGGGTACAACGATTCCAGCCTTGTGGAATGTCTTAGTGACCACCTTCTTATCTCGACCTTTCATGTTCTTTGTCTTAGCTTCCAGAGAGTGGTTAGATTTCTTGGCCCACTCTGTCAGAGACTTATCCACCTTCTTCAAACCTTCTAACCTCTTCTTGTCCTTGGTCTGTTTGATCAGTCTATCTATGTGTAACCTGTGGAAGAGTTTAATAGAGAGGACAACTTTAAATAATAGAAAATAGACATTCACATCAAAGATTAAAGGGACTTGGTAACATTGTTCAGATGAGAGATAGTGGTGCTAAGGTAGTGACTTCAATGCTAGATGTACAATTAAAGATAATCTAAAAATTTGAGGGAAAACGGACCATTATTCATGGTACAACTTGGGAAAAACTGATCTGATCGATTTCTTAATTCTCCCAACTATATTATCACAATTTAATTACATTTTAGGTGAATGGAAATCATCACAAAGCAATAAAATGGCTCTACATGCCATTCCAGACATTTAAGTGTTGACAGATTTTTTATAGCCTGTTTTATGTCTTTTTTCCATGGAAAAACGGTTGGGGAAAATTCAAAAATTGTTGGGAGAATTTACTATTAATCACTGTTAGAGGGTGTTATACATCGACTCCTTCAAAGAAAACCATATATATCTTTGTGGTTTGAGAATTTTTTCAGGATTTTTTGCATGTCAGAGGGTTAGTACAGTAGAAGGAATAGTAAGTAACATTTTATACAAAAATTAAGCAATTTTTTAATCAACCTTCAACAATGTTACCATGTCACTTTAAGAGTTACATATTTGCCTCTGACTGCAAAAGTTCTTGATACAATAATAAATCTCTAACCGTGGAAAGGTTGGGTCTGAAAGTAACTGGTGGAAGTGTTAAAGTTACTTTGTCCCTTTTGCAGCCAACCTCAAATTCTGTAAAACTTGGCAGGAATTATGAATATGTCATGTATGTCCTATCTGTGAAATTTAAACGTTAGCAGTGTCCTCATATTCAAATTATGCAAGGAAACCCGTTTACTTGCTAGACTTAACTGTCAGACACTATTGAGTGACTGACTGGCTTTTTTTCTTCTTTGGTAATAACATACATGAAAAGAGTTGTAAAGGGTACATGAGCATTTGTCTACATCAATAACCCACTTCTTGTGATGGCCAAGATTAAACTGATTGAATCTTTGCGCAGCATAAAACGTATGACCATTCGGTACAATTGTCTGAAAATCAAGACTATTACATTTGGGCTCTATAGCCCTAAAGTCGATTTAACAACTAATAGTCATTATTTTCCCACTTAAAGACATTTTCAAGCCCCACCTTTTTAGGGAAGTTCTAAATTAGTACTATCTTTTAAATGCAATTGGAATTCAACTTTTTCATTTTTTGGCCTGCAAATGGGACATTTAAAGGGGATTGAGATGGATGGATCATGAGTTGAGAAAGTTAGATGATAAACCTGTGGGATTCAAAAGTGGATGGCATAAGAGGAAAAGGAAGACTGAAGGTTTCATGAGAAGATATGGTGAAGATAGAAAGCATCACGATTGGTCTAAATAAGGAGGATGCTCGAGACAAGAAGAAGTAGAGGGAGGATTTGTCATCATTGCGCAAAAGTCAGTAAACCCTCGTAAGAAGGAAAATACTGACTTTAATAAATGATGAAGGTGGTGATAAGTCTTGGATCTAAATTACGGGTGCAGTGGCAAGGCATGAAATAGGTCATCTTTTCACATTTCTTTGGTCTTGTCTCTCTTCCTCTCCCTCTCATTCTGTCTCTCTCGAATTTCTTTTCATTCCTTAACAGCTTAATCTGGTGAAAAATCCCCCCCCCCCCCAGGGTGTGCATGCAGAAGACTTTGAAAATGATATTTCAACAGTTTATGTTTGGTCCATACCAATGGCAGATGGAATAGTAAAGGGAAGTACCCCCATAACCTCTCAACCCCCCCCCCCCCTCAAAAAAAAGGGAGCCAAAAAAAGAAAAAGGTGAGAAGAGAAGTAAAAAATTATACTCACTTCACTGCAGCAAAGATATTCTCTCCCTGAGTTGTAATGGTACAGCCCTCTGTAGCTGAGTTTGACGCAATAAAAACTGGAACTTTCTGTGGTTCATCCCTGGAATATGAGAACATTGACTTTATTAGATTCAGCTAGAACATAGATCTAAACAGTTTTAAATAATGAATTCACATACAAGCTTTAGTAGGTTTGTGATCCTGCAAATCACTATACCATTGCTAATGAACGAGTCAATGTCTAGAGAATTAACAGGCCATTACAAAATAAATGTCCGTCCGCAGTGTAGAGATTATTTTTTTGATAAAAATGAATGATGTGCTTTGAGTATATTTGGCAGCAGAACCTGTGCAAAACAAAAATGTACATTTGCTGTGTGCAATCCAAAATGATGGTCAGCGATACAGTAAAACATCAAAATATAGTCTAGGCTCTCTGGAAGATTTTTTTGTTTACAATCTCCCAAATGTGATATTATCACATTGTTCCTCAAGAATTTCAGATTTTTCAATTACATGTACATGTATGGACACATCATATAATTTCTAAAAAAAGTGTAATAATGATAAAGGATTGAAACTTGAAAGAATCCCCACTTTGAAGAGGGTTTCTCTCTGTTTACCTTTGATGGCCTTCATAGAGAGATGACTATCAAACAACAAATTGAGACTAAATTACCTATAGTACCCCAGGTGATGTTGTTTCTTCTCGTCTCCTAGAAGCACTGTCTGAAACTCTGGAGGGTCGTAGAAGAACCTATGGTGCAATAAATAATTGGGTCTCTGACCTTTGACACATTTCAGCCTGCCTGCCATGACATCATACGGACCTCCAAGCACCAAGCCAATATCTTCTTTCAATGCTTCTACAAAAAAAATATGGGAATAGAAGAGTCAGGCAAACGTCCAACAACTGTCATTTTTAAGAATTAAAAAGAAGGGAGTGTCATTTGAAGAATGACTCAAAAACATGAGCAAGAGCATGAACCATGTAAAGGCAAAAACCTCTTAAATCTTAATTTCTTTTACAAATGGAAATTTAAGAAAAGTACAAAGATTATGATGGGCAAGGTGAAAAGGAAAATTGTAACTGGTCCAGGCGAATATTGATCTATATGTCTCTTCATAATCAAATGTTAATAAATTCCAAATGAGCAACTTTAGAAGTGATTAACAACATTAAAACAAAACAAGAAACACCCAAAATTAAACGCTACAGACAGGGTTGAATAGTTTCCATCAATGCCTTTATGTAATCTTAAGCCCCAGTCCCATATAAAGCCGGACCAGCACGGACGAGCACGGACCACTCCGGACCATCCCGGACCATGGTCTGGGGTGATCCGGGATGGTCCGGGATGTTTTGTTCAAAAAAGTGTGATGCTTTTAAGCTACAGTCCCATATACGTCCCGGACCGTCCCGGACCATCCCGGACTCCATCCGGGGTGATCCGGGATTCGGTCCGTGTTGACACCGTGTTGGCACCGGGGTGGTCCTGGATGGTCCTGGATGGTCCTGGGCGGTCAATAACTCACTCCCGGACTGCCACGGATCAACACGGACCGCCCCGGCGCCACTACGGATGACCCCGGACCCAGCACGGTGGCTACACGGATCACCCCGGATCAAACTGTTGTCCCGGACCGTCCCGGACCACCCCGGCAGTTTTTGACCGTCAAAAACATCCGGGGTCGACTCCCGGACCGCCCAGGACCATCCAGGACCATCCAGGACCACCCCGGTGCCAACACGGTGTCAACACGGACCGAATCCCGGATCACCCCGGATGGGGTCCGGGATGGTCCGGGACGGTCCGGGACGTATATGGGACTGTAGCTTAACTCTCACTTAACTACTTCTCCACTGAAAGGTATAAATAAAATCCCTTTTCATCTACAAAGGTGTAAAAGAGAGATTGTATAATCACCTGAAGGCTTGGCTGGATTGATGCTCTTACAGTAATCCCAGAAATCAAAGAAATCTTGTGGCATCTCAACTTTGAACTTTAACCTCAACTCTTCTTGGATGTCTATGTTTGGAGGAGTACCAGGGTTCTCATCAGCATCTAGAATAGTAAATATGGAAAGAATAGTCGTACTAAGATTTGAAAGTTAAGACTAATTGTGTGCATCCAAATGCTTGATTGAATGGTTGCAACAACTTGTTTGAACATTAAAAAAAAAAAAAAACACAACAACACTTATGCATACTTAATTCAAATACAACTATTTGGCTGATTCCCATACAAACTCTTCTCTATGATCCCACAAACTAAATCTAATTCATTTCAAATTTACCCTTCACACTGATAAATCACTCCTCCAACAGAAACAATAAGAACTCATCTAATTCATTTCAAATGGTGGCTCAGTCGTTAGAGCGCCCGCCTCATGAACGGGAGGTCGTGGGTTCGAACCCCGGCCGAGTCATACCAAAGACTTATAACAATGGGACCTTCTGCCTTCTAGCTAGGCGCTCAGCATATTAGATTGGAGAAGGGCAGTAATAACATATTATGTTATGCAGGGCCCGCTGGAAGAGCAGTTATATAACTGAAGTGGCTACCCTGGGTAAATAAAACATTATTATTATTATTATTATTATCTAGACCCTAGCTATACCTTCATTTTCAATTGGACAAGTTTCCTCCAACTCCTCTTCTTCAAGCTCTTCAGTTCTGCTAGGGAGCTGATTCTGCTCTTCACAATCCGCTTCTTGATCTTCAGACAGTTTTTGACGTTTTGATGGTTGACTTGTCAAATCCTGTGACATTTTAAAAGAATAATTTAAAACAGAGAAATATATTACTGATTAGGGTTCACATGACATTGTACTAGACTATTTCTACTTCCTGCATGGCGAGCTGGCTTGAAAGCTCAAGTAATATTATGACAATAATGGCAACAAATAAGCCTATTTATTATCCCATTGTAAAATGTTATAATCCAGAATACTTTTATTAACACATGTGTCATGACTCTTGTGACATTGTGCCTATTTTCATAAAATTTCATTATTCAAGTAGCCTAATATAAGGCAATAAGAATATGCAAATAGTCTAGAGTCGAGTCTATTTGAAACTCATCCTGAATTGAACATTGTTTGTAGTATTGACTATTGTACAATATACCATCAGGGCGCATTTGCGACAAACTACATTAATCAATTATTAAACACATCTCAGCTCACTCAACATCATTATGATTATCAACATTCTTTCTGATTAGTTAGGTTTATACAACACCTACGTGGATCCTTGTCATTTGATTGGAGGATTGTTGGTCACATGATATTCAATAGATGTTATATTGCACGGTCGTGCATTTTTGGTTATATGCGCCGTGCAATTTTGGTTATATGCAGCCTGCGTTCCTCTCAGCCGTGCGCGCGCGTATCCCTGCGTGTATCTGACGCGCAGGCAATCTGAATGTAATCGAGAAGGCTTGACTCCAACTTTAATTTATCTTTGATATAAGGAGTAAAGCATAATTTGTTGATAACGTTCTATTAGATCTTCTTCGATGTTGTATAAAACAAATAATGAATGTTTTTCATTCATTCAATGGTGCGAATATTTTCATTCGTTGAAAGATTAACGTTGATTCTATTCAACTCGGCTGACGCCTCGTTGAATAGAATGTTAATCTTTCAACTCATGAAAATATTCGCACTATTGAACTCATAACCATTCATTATTTGTATACTATTAGTATTACCGATTCATCCTCCTCCGAGGCCGAGTCCTCGTTTGTTCTCCTTGCTGGATGTTTGAATTTCTTGAGATGCTCCTCACTCTTTCGGTAACATTTCGCTCCATATTGACAGTTAAGGTTCTCTGCCATGTCAATCACTTTAATAAAGTCTAGGCTAGACTAATCTTTGTAATTATTAGCGCGAGTGTTCAACACAATTGTCCTTGGATTATGATCTGAACAACTTCAACATTCACTTTACATGTGTGGAGCTAGACCAAAACAATCCAGGCGCGCGCAATATTCAATACATAGCTCTTCTACAAGGATTAACCATTATTGATTAAATTATTTAAAAAATTTAATGAAAATAAACCAAGATCAAATCATTTACTGTACATTTTTATATAATTAAATTGCTTAATGAAGTGTTTTGCAAGAATTTAAGATAACAGTAATAAAATATATCATGATAGTATTCAATAATACCTCCTTAAAGACTTGGAAAAGGTCACTTGCTTTTATGGTCACCTGATTGATCCAAGATCGTGTATGGTTTACCGTTGACGTCATAGTTGCCTGGTTTCGGTCAACAGTTTTCTCGAGGATCCGGGAAAAGGACGATTATATTTTCAGCGAATTCTTACTATCAAGCATCATGGTTCGTATATTACTTGTGTTTTTGAATTTGTACATGTTAATGAATTAATGAATGTGTAGATTTGGAAAGCATTGATGCCGATATTTGCTAGTTTTGTAAACGTTTTTCATCATCCGTATTCCGTAATCATAACGAAACGGTAACTTCTTAAAGTAGCTTAGCCTTTATAGTGGCACTAGACTAGTGCACCGCGCCGCGGCTGCGGTGCCCTAAGGTACGGTAGTTTGTACACTTTCTACAATGTACGTGCCAGTATTAAATGATGTATGATCATGATGATGAGTACAAACTTAAGGGCAGACGTGGGCCATGTCGTGGGCTGTGGGCTGTGGAGCTAGCTAGCCTTCATCACCCCCTCCCTCCATTACCAGTTTGCAGGTGCATGCAATTGCAAACAAATTATTTTGTGAAACTTAATATGATGAATGTGAGTTAGGATTAAGCCAAGACTTCTTCTTTGTCGTTGTTTTCTTCTTTGTCTTACTTGTCTTCTTCTTCGTCTAATTCTTCTCCTGAAGTCGTCTCTTTTTTTCTCCTTTGTCATATTCTTATCCTTCTTCTTTTCCTCCTGCTCCTTCTCCTTCGTTTTATTTTTCTTCTCGTCTTCGTCTTCTTCTTCTTCGTCTTCTGTATGTGATGACAGATTGTCTAAACCATTTAAAAGACACTAGAGTAGAGTCTCCGGTTTGCGGCATCGCCCGGCTTGCGGCCAGGGGTATTTGTTTTAAAAACAAAATGAATATGACTCGATAATAATCATTGAAACCTACCGTGGACTCCACGGTAAGTTCTGCTTTGCCGAAAACGTCCGTAGCAGGTGCTCCTGTCGGTACGGAGTATCCGTCAGCGATGTCGGAAATCTACGGCACCAGTCGCCGATGAAAATTCCAGCAGGTGCTAACTTTTAAGTTAAGAGATCGAGGCATGACTAGATCAATATTGTAGCTCTATTTGTCCGATATTTGTCCGATTGGAGGTGAAATTTGATGTTTTTGTGGAAGTATGATGGCTGTGGTCTGTCTCCTATCGCAGATATTTTGATTGTGCCACCACATGGCCAGTTGCATGGGGTGGCCGCAAACCGGCACGTAATTACGTGTTTTTCTGGTTTGCGGCGGGGGGTGTTAATACACACATAACATGCGGGATCGTGTATGATGGTATGTGTGCTGATGTGTGTACCCGCTATGACCCGATAGTTTCTAGTAGTACGTACCCCCGTATGGGATGATCCATTCGAGGAAAAGGTGAAATTGATTCAGGGTTGTTTGATTTAAATCATGTCGATTTAAATCATGATTTAAATCGTGATTTAAATCACTTGATTTTTTTCAAAAAAATCACTGATTTAAATCAACTTTTATGAAAAAAATTAGTTTTCTCTATTTTCTCTTCTTCTTAACAGATGCTTTCAATGTAATCATTTTCATTTCTGTTCCACATGCTTTAGAGATACTTTAAAAGAATGATACACCCTCATGGAGTCTGATTTAACACCACTGTTTTATTTTCAAATTGTAAAACAAGCAAAACTGATGAAAACAACAAGTTTCTAACGAAGTAATGATAAATAACTCTCTGTATGTACACCAAACTGTTAAATCTTCAATAAAATAATATATAAAATCTACAAAGGTGCTCAAAGTCCACAACTTGGATACTTTTACAAAACAGCTGAACTACTTGTATGTACCTCCTTCTTGTTACTATTAATACCCATTCTTTCAATTACTTAAGTTGAAGGCATATGTGTACATTTGATAAGAATTACATGTATATTTGCATGCTTGTGTATTTTCTTATCAATACCCATACATTCAATTACACAATTTCAAAGTACACATGTATACTTAATAAGTAAGAATTTAAAAATGGGAAAGTTGCTGGGCAAGTGTTACTGTATGCAGCAATACAACTGCTGTGCTTGCTTGTTCATGTAATAGTTTGAAAAAACAGCACATCAATGATGTGGTGGACAGTGGTGCTTATCCTGCATCTTGCAACGAAATTTATTGAAGTTTTATTTGGAACTGAGGTTACACTGTAATGAAAACATAAAATGTGTATTTTGTTACAAGCATATCAGGAAGTCCCTATTGCAAATCTGGTTAAATATTACATTCAAATTAGATGTTAACGTACAGACTGATATAAAAATTTCAAGAGTTTAAATGTATACATAATACATAACATTACTTGGGCTTCCATAAAATGTTCCTCTCTATAATGCAAATAAATAAAAAAAAAATAAAAAAAAAAAATTACCTGTATATAAGTGGATTATTGTGTCAAATAGTACAATACACAATGTTCAAAAGACTACTTGACCACTATTATTGGTGTAAAACAGTTTAAATATAGTCTAAAACTTGTTAAGTGTGACCATTATTTTTCGTTGGAAAATTTTTAAAAAAATCTGATTTAAATCATAAAAATCCGATTTAAATAAAAAAAATCAACAACCCTGAATTGATTAAAACTTGACAAATTTACCGTAGCAACAGATAAACATGAGAATTTGGGTTACCCGCAGTAATTTGGTACATGCTTTCATCGTGACGTAGCGCATAAAGCTTTGTGACGTACGCGTGCCGCAAACCGGTAATGCGTGCCCGCAAACCGGGGAACTCGAAGCATTTCGAAACGTGGTCAATGCTGACCACGCTGTGGGTCAGTTAGGTTATTTGTGACTTCTATTTAATAAGTAAGTATATGGACTCTTTATTGAGGGTATTGATGAATTCTGTGAGTATTCCAATAAAAATAGAATCGGCAGTTCCCGCCGATCGGCCGCAGACCGGAGCCACTACTCTAGTGAATTATATTTGTTTGATATGTATTAGCCTTTTGGATTAGGTTAAATGTGTAGGGATGTAATGACTGTTGTAAATGATACTTTTATGTAAAGTTTATTTAGGGCCAGGTTAGTCTGGTTTTGGGATTAAGTTTAAAGTTAGCAATTGAAATAATGCTGCAAATGGACCATTGAGCAGTTGCCACCTGAGTAGATGTTGAAAGATCATATTTACGTCACTGGATGCTTTTCCATGCATCCAGTTTTGTCTATTGGTTTAGAAATGTCCATGAAGTCACCATTTAAATAATTTGTAATGCCTTCATTTTAGCCTGACTCCAAGTCTGCAGAGAAGGTAGCAGTGAAGGTGGTAGCAAGATGTCGACCTTTCACAGATACAGAGAAAGAGAAGGGTGCGTCAAGAATAGTCAAGATGTCTGGAGACAAGACTACATTGCAGAATCCACAACAGGGGGGTACTGGAAAGGTTTGTAAATTTTAGTCAGATTTCAGCGCTTTATTTTTATGATTTCAAAAAGTTTCCAAGTCTCATGATACTGCTGCCTCTCCTTCATGACCAGACATAAGTTGCCTATATTAGACTCATTTACCAAAGAAAACAGCAATCTTTTTCTATCAAACTTTTTGAACATTTTATCGGTATACAATTTGAAATACCATGATATTTATCAGCAATGCAATATTAAATGACTTCACCCCTAATTTGGCAATATTTCGTTATGCTATCTCAGTGGAATATATGTAATTTGGATGTATTTTGTTGAGCATGAGCATTTTCAAATTCATTGTAACATAAGTTCCGAGGGATACATTTATCTCTCACCTAGAGAAATTTCTCTGTTTGAAAAATTAGAATTGTTATAGTTTGTTGTATACATGTCTGTATCCTCTAGTCCTTGTAGACTTTATTGCATCATTGAATTTTGTCTTGAATACAGGAAACACTGAGATAGAACTAATTTACTAACTAGTATATGATCACATTTGTGTTTAATCACAATGTAGGAAGCTGTTTTTGCTTTTGATGCTAGCTACTTCTGGGACACAAGGACGGTGAGTATACTTTTACAACATTATACATTAGTTATTGAACTACTTTAGTGAGATCATAAAGTAGATACATATAAAGAGCTTTTATAATGGTTGCATGGATTTCTTATAAACCTCAGGATTCTATTCCTCAGATTCAATTCAATGTTTGAAAAAATATTGGCATGATCAAGCAACACAGTTTGAAATCATTTGCAAGTAAATGAGAGAGAGATCTAGGTGATATGAGAATGAAGCCTCTAAAATATATATCAACTGCTCATCTTGGCTACTATTATTTGTATTTTCCACTCTTTAATAAGTTTAAATTTATTAAAATGTGTAATTAATGAAAGCAGTATGAATGAAAATTACAAAAATGTAATAATTGTCAATATATATGTACATGAAAAGAATAATTATAAATTTCACTGTGCATTGCCAATTTAGAGGCTTTAATTATTATTTTTAATTAAATTGCTGTCATTCACGAACAACTTAAGATAATGCTGCATGTTTGCCTCAAGCTATCATATGTTAAGTGTTTGGGACCTGGGTGTGGTCCTTAGTGAGAGGCGTTGTTGCTCTCTCTGCATGTTTGTCTGTTTCTCTGTCTTGCTTTTTTGTTTGTCTGTGTTGCTCGTTGTCGTTTACTGTTACTCGTACACTGTAAATGTTAAAAAATTCCTCCAATGGCCTTATATGTATAAAGTAGTTATTGGTTATCATGATGTATAATAAGTTGAAGATTATTTCTATGAACTGTAGAGGTCTGGGAAACTCTCAGAAAAGAAAAGATGTACTAAACTATTTAAATGCAAAACATGCTAGCATTTGTTGTTTGCAAGATACCCACTTTGTGCCTGAGATAGAATCTGTTGTTAAGCAAGAATGGGATGGAACTTGTTTTTTTGCAAACAAATGCTCAAACGCTCGGGGGGTGGCGATACTCTTTGACGTAAATATTCAATGCGAAGTTAAAAAACAAATATGTGACAAAAATGGTAATTTCATTGCTTTAAGCATTTGTATGGGACAGTTGGAGTTTTCTTTAATTGCACTTTATGCCCCAAATGATGACTGTCCCATCTTTTTCCAAGAATTGGAGAATATTATATTAGATCTTAATGATCCTCTTGTAATTATGTGTGGGGATTGGAACCTACTTCAAGATTTTGATTCGGACTCTTGTAATTACGTTAGATTAAATAATAAAAATGCTCAGCGCAAAGTTTTGGAAATGAAGATCAGTTTTCATTTAATTGATCCATGGCGCTGTACCCATCCAGACATAAAACAGTTTACCTGGAGACAACCTAGTCCTTTAAAACAAGGGCGACTAGATTTCTTTTTGATATCAAACCAGCTATTTTCGTTAGTATCAGATTGTAAAATAATAGCTATAGATCTGATCATGCAGGGATTAGTTTGGATCTTATGTTCGGTACTGGTCTAAAGAGACACAAATATTGGAAGTTTGACAATTCTCTCTTAAAGGAAGAGCAATATGTACAAACTGTAAAGGATAAAATAAAAGAAATCACTTTAGATTATATTGAAAAAAATGATCAAGATGATACAAGGTTTGAGGATATTGACAAAAACAGTTGTAAATTTATTCTCAATGAACAATTTTTTTTTGAAATTCTTTTGATGGAATTGAGAGCATGTACTATTATATATGGAGTAAATAAGAAAAAAGAAATTGATAAAATAGAAAAACAATTAGAGGATAAGATCGAACAGTTGGAATTGAAGTTAAATTTGGGCATTAGTGATAAAGATAGCATATTAGAACTTAAGATAATGCAACTGAAATGGACTCGTATTTTCCAGTGATTTTTGCACTTCTGCTCTTGACATATGTACAATTTGTAATTCTAGATCAAAATATAAAACTAAGGGATCACTAAAAGGTGACACTAAAATAGCTGCTTAATAAAAACTGCAATTTTGTGTGAAAAAGTGACCAAGAGATGTTCCAAATCCATTTCACACACATGTGCTTCTTACACACTTTCATTGTTGTTTTGTTTTGTTTTGTTTCCTGCAGAGTTTAGTATACAAGGAGCAATGTGAGCCCCTATTGAAGAGAGCTATGGAGGGGTATAATGTCACCATCATTGCATTTGGTCCTACAAACAGTGGCAAGACCCATCTCATGTCTGGGCCTATGGAAGATCCTGGTCTTGTTCCTATGGTAACAGCATGTTCATTTTCAATCCATAAGACACATTTTACTTGCAGCCATTTTTCCTACTTAGAATGCATGAGAGCATCCAAAGTCACGTCATTCCTATTATATACTTGTGATTCACGTAGAGCTATATACAGTGCGTCCCAGAAAAAACTAAACCGAGAATTATCGATGTTTTACTTTTATATTTGATAAGTGACATATTTGGAAAGCTTAGATCCTCTTTCATTTGATGCAACTCATATAATGCATATTTCAGGCATGAGTGATTAAAATGAATTTTGAAGAGAGGAAACAAAAAAGTCATTTGGCGGAGGGTATCTGAAGTCAAGGAGAAAATCACATTTCTAAAAAGTTGAGTTTCTGCCCTTTCATATGACACCTCAATCAGGAAAAATGAGCAAGGAATCACAAAGTTCTGTTTGTTTAAAGGAGTGCTTGCATTTCCATAATTTTATCAAACGAATTTGTTTTCACTGGCTGCCTACCGTAGCAGCAAGCAATCAGCTGTAGACGAAAGACTCCATTTATGGCTGATTGTCAACGAAACGGTTGTCAATTCTGCTTAACACGTATGATTTTCCCCAACTTCTTTTTATTCCACTTGTAACTGATTTTAATAATCTATAGTCCCTTGGTTTGTGGTTTTCAGATCAATCGAAGTCTCTTCAAGCAGATCAAGAACTCCAAGAAGCAGTTCCTTATTACAGCATCGTTCCTTGAGGTAAGAAGCCACTATGCTGTCTAAATAGAACTTAAGTAGTGCTTTCAAGGACACTTATATCATGAACTTGTACACAGGGAGGGTATCTTTTAAAATGAAGTACTCAAAAGGGTTGATTTATATTGACCAAGAAAAAATATAGTCTAATGAGCTTGTATGAGCACTGGTATGTAGAGGTTCAACATCAGGCTTTCAGTCAGAAGGGGGAATGTTTGAATACTTGTCTGGTGGTTAATTCCTTAAAACCAGGCACTTCATCAACAATTGTCTCTCATTACCCAGGTGTAGTAGGTATAGGTACCAAGTAACATTCATTCTTTGAAATGCAGGGTATGCACTGTGCACCCATGATGGCTGATGGAGCCAAAGTCATAAACAACCCCATCCCTCATCATCCATCCCTCATCATCCATCCCTCATCATCCATCCCTTATCATCCATTATCACCATCCATCCCTCATCAGTTTAGTTTCAGTTTGGTTTCTTTTATTTCACATGGAAAAAACACACAATACATTAACAAAACATAGCATATTTACAAAATTGATATTCGTGAACAATGAAGACATCTACATAGCATAAGTTTGTATGGCATTTACACTAAATAATTTCAAAAATTACATGTGAAAAAAGGAACTTAATAAAAAGCATATAGCTTTTAGAATTTAAATTCCTCAAAATAATTTTGACACAGTGTCATTCATAGTAAGGTAGAAGTATAATAATACAAAAAGCAAAGTATACAGACAAAAACAATGAAATGATATGGATGATATGTAAGAAAGAAGAGAAATAGGAAGAGAAGGTAAAGCATGGGGGTCAGAAAAAGAATGAGGAGAGAGAAAAGGAAGTTTTTAGAATAGAATGTTTAAGGTCATCATCATCCATCCCTCATCATTAAAAACAAAAATGAAAACCCATAGAGATGAAATTAATGATTCATGCTCCTCAGAACAAAATGTGATTATTCCTGTATTATTGTGGCACTTTCTGATGATAATTGTTATCTTTTTTTCCCTTTGTTTTGCATGTAGGTGATGGATGAACACATGACTGATTTGCTGAACCCACACACAGATGATATGCAGATCAGACAACACCCTCAGATTGGAATGTAAGTGGTGTTTGATAAGATGAAAAATGCATTGATTGTCAAGTTATCCCATAAAATATTGAATTTAGCGAGCCATGAATGTTTAGAAATTTTGATCATTGGCTTGCTGCTCAATAATTATTATAATAGTCTGGGTTTATATAGCACTTATACATATACAACGTCTCTATGCTTTACAGAAATATTATCACTCCGGTCATATAGGATTCTTGCTTGCCCACACGCAACTTATATATGCACATTCTCCTCTCCCTGGGGAGCATTCTAGCCAGGCGCCATTTTACAGATGCTCACAATTCTGAGCAAACTACATTGACTTTCCCATCCTACAGGGTACCCATCTAACACCTTGGCGGAGAGGAGCAATCTCATGAAAGGACACAAGTGACATGCTGGGGATTGAACCCACAACCTTTTCATCTTCAGTCAAGTGTTACCGCTCACCTATGAGACATAGTTTGTAAAAATGATTCTTAAATTAAATCAACATAGATTATTGTTTTAGATTATGAGAATTCAGCTGTTAGAAATTGCAAGTGCATGATGCCATTATGTGTAGAGGTATTGTGGTCCAGTGGATAAATCTCTGGACGACGAACCACAAGGTACGGGTTGAAATACTAATGTCCTTTGGCAAGACATTAATATACATTTGCCACACTCTATCCAGGTGAGGTGAATAGGTAACGTGCCAGACATGAGCGCCATACAAGATTTCACTAGTATTATTGTTATTATTATGTGAAACTGCCATTTTTATATGAACATTGCTTTTCAGATTTGTTGATGGTCTGTCGGAGCTTGTAGTGAAGAGTGGTGAAGATTTGTCTCGATACTATGACCAGGGTAGCAGGGCTCGCAAGATGGGTGCAGCTGATATCAAGGCACATAGAGCAAGGTAAAAACAAGCTTTCTCTCTCTTACTCCCCCTCCCCTTGTCCTCTTTCCTCTCCCTCTCTCTCTCTCTCTCTCTCTCTCTCTCTCTCACTCTCTCTCCCTCTCTGTTTACCCCACTCCGGCCACCCTTCACTCCCTCTCTCTTTCTCTCTCTTTCTCTTTCTCTCTCATTTTTTAAATACTTGTCCATTTTACTCTTTGTCTGCCCTCTTTTTTTTACCCTGCCCATCATGTTACTCTGTCTAGCTGTCTTTCTTCTCTCTTAATGTGAGGTCAAATTCTGAAAATGATCTGATCTTTAATGATAGTGAAATGATATCAATTGTCAGAACAATTCAAATTAACGATAATTCATTGATCAATTACTGCGCAAGGCTGGCTGTGTTCAAGTTTAGTGAAAAGAGACATCTGCGTGTGTAACCACCAACGGTAAGTTTGATTTCGCGCAATTTGAGTTTGTTATGACAACTAACATAATTTTCCTTTAACAAGAAAAATAACCTTGTTTTAAGAATACAGCCCCTGATTTTGTTTTCTGCTTCACCCTCTTACATTTCCTCCTTTTCACCCACAGTCTTGACTCTTCATTGACCCTATTCTTGTCTCCTTTCTCCAGGCTTTCCCAGTAGACCTATATCCCTCTCTGCCACTTCTTTGCTGTCTCTCATCAGCTGCCCCCTCTGATTACTGCCTTTTGTACCTAAGTACTATTTTACAATCTGTCAGTTCTCAGTTTGTTTATACTCTTTAGATTTCTATCCTCTGTCCTTTCTCTACCTATCTCCTTTTTTTCATATTTTCTCTTCATCCAACATTGAAATCATTTTCCCTTTTCATGTGAATGTGTAGTTAGCTTGATTCATTTGTCACACAATTGTCCATTACAATGATCCTCAACTCATTGTGATATTTTCCCTTAGGGCTCATGGTATCTTCACTATCAGTATCGAGCAGAGAGGCGGAGATGGAGGAAAAGGACTGAGGAGCAAGATTGTATTGGCTGATCTTGCAGGTATATATCAATTGCTGTTTGTTTGTTTTGTTTTATTTATTCACTATGTAAAGTAATTGTTTACGGATAATAAAATTCAGTGGGTTACATCGAGATACACAGTAGGAACAGTGCATAAAAAAAAATGTTTGAAGCGCAACGTCCTTAAGATAACATAGTTGATACTTATTAGGTCTATATAGAACATGGCTAATTGAAATAAGACATTCTGTAATATATTGCTGACATGTTAATCTTTTCATAAATTCATACAGTAGATGTTTCTTAAATGTAGGAAACATGTATTCATAATTTTGATTGAATATGATATACTAGACTTAAGATCTTTCTTCTTTGTCATGTTTTTACTTCTGCATCTGCTTGACATTTTACAGTCCTTGTTTAGTTTTATGCATTTTCGTATAATTTGGAACTATATTACATGTATTTCCTTTGCACTTCAGACTTTGATTTCAATCTATCTGTTTTTGTTTTTTGCTTCAGGTTCCGAAAGCGTACAGAGTAAAGACAAAGGGTAAGAAATGAGCAATGAAAGTACTTCATCTGTAGGTTTTAAAATCGACTTGGAGTAAATTTCTTAAAAAATTAAGATTAAAAAAACATATGTATGCTTGAGTTTCCTGAACAACTTGAGATATACATGTATGTACTAGATTTGGGAATCAAAAGAAAAATGTCCATATGTTAATATGACTTTCAAGTACTTTTATACAAAGTGTTTTGGGAAAAATGAAGAAAAAAAGGGCAATAATTTACATGTTTATCTAAATTTTCTTCAGTATGAATGTGATGAGAGCATCTTCAAGGGAAATTATTGATGTGGTGAGAGTGCATTGTGCAAGGAAGTTACATAATTGTTCTCATTAATTTTTTCTTGTTTCATCTCTCTTCTCAGACTTGGTGCCCTAGGGGACGTGATAAGTGCCCTTGGTGATCCTCGTAAGAAAGGGGGTCATGTACCTTACAGAGAGTCAAAGGTCACAAGGTTACTTCAGGTAATTTGATAGTTTTCTCATTCACCACTTCCCATCCCCTCTCTCTCTCTCTCTCCCTCTCTCTCTCTCTCTCTCTCTCTCCCTCTCTCTCTCTCTTTCTCTCTCCCTCTCTCTCTCTCTCTCTCTCTCTCCCTCTCTCTCTCTCTCTCTCCCTCTCTCTCTCTCTCTCTCTCTCTCTCTCTTCTCTCTTGCTATCTCCCTACCTATCAATATGGTGATCCTCGTAGGAAAGGGGGCCATGTACCTTACAGAGAATCAAAGGTCACACGTTTACTTCAGGTACGTCCTTTCTCTCTATTACTCTATTGCAACTTCGCTTTTGAATATGCAATAATTTTCACAGATTTCTTAATATAATTCAAGATAATATTTTGTTAGTCAATTAATGATATCTCCTCTAGGCCATTTTTGTGATGTATTAAGATTCATGAGAGTTTACTAATCGCAACAAGCTATTACATTCACCTGTTGATTGAATGTAGTTCAATTGTCAGAATGTGAATTGCATACATTTATTATTGCAATGTAGGGCAAATATGGGTTTTCCTACCTAATAACATATACTGTACGCAATTTGCATTCTGATCATTGAAATTTGATTATCCATATCAGGTGAATGAAAGAATTTGTAATGAGGCCCTTCACAAAATAGCCTATATATAAATGAAACTACTACAAGGCAAATAAGGTCTCACCGATATATGTTATCATGTGAGTATAAATTCAATGTCATATGAACCTTCTCTATATCCCAGGATGCCCTTGGAGGTAACGCCCACACGCTGATGTTTACGACCATATCTCCATCTGATACCTGCTACAACGAGACACTGACCACCCTTCAGTACGGTCAATACTGCAAGAACGTTATCAATCACCCAGCAATAAATGTGGTATGTCATCCAGCCTCCTTGCTCATCTCAACTCAATGAACATGTTTACAATGCTTATAGGATCAGTAATTTGTATATATCGTATATTGTATATAATCTTAAATGTATCTTGTATGTAAGTTGTGTTGAAATGTATTCATTAAGCTTTTGCCTTTCCTTCTTTATTGCTTTAGTTAAACTATCGTATTTGGTATCTGAAAGATAATGCATGTTATTTCAACAACTGGTCAGAAATTAAATGTTTTTAACTTTTTTTTTTGGTAGGATGATAGTGAACGACTGACCACTCAGCTTCGTGAGGAGATCTCTCGTCTGAGAGAGAAGCTGACCGGTACATCACTCACTGAAGCAGGCAGCAAAGAGGAGGTGGCCAAACTACAGGTCAGTCAAAATGAAGTAGGGTCATTGTTTGCTGATGATGACCCATAGCATGGCGGGGTGTATTGATATTTCATGATTTCAGTAAAAGAAAATTAACCATCAACATCAAAGATAAAGGAAATAGAATATTTCAAAAACAATGTCTGATGTCCTGTCAAATAAAGTGATGTGAATTCAACAAGACAGTGAAGTACCTTTTTTCACAGTGGGCCAAAAATTGGGGATGCAGTTGATAAACAATGATGGATGGTTTATACACAAACTTATTTACAGTATCAATGTTTTCAGTACTTTAAAAGCAGTTGTAGCCTTCTGTTTTATTTTCTACAATGTGTGTCCTTGTGCCAACGCAGGTGGACAATTCAGCATAGAACTGTAATATTCTACATTAAGCTTGTTAGTGTGAAACATTGCTTTGAGTGTTGTTTTTTTTTGCCTCCAACAATTTAAATTTAGCATTAATTTAATTTTAAATAATTTCTGTTCTCCTTTCTGCTTCTCCCAATCAGGATTTGATCAAGGATCTTCAGATTGCTAAGCGTCAGGGATGGGAGGAGAAGGAGAAACTATCAACTCAGTATGAAGAGGAGAGAAGAGAGAACCTGGCCAAGAAGGTATCACACAAACATTAACTCTTCGGTCCCTTCATTCGCTTCTCTGCATAGTCGCATGTTTTCCACATGTGCTATTTTGCTTAAAGCAATAGCACTAATTGACTGAAGGATTACTTTGTGTAACACAATGGCTTTGCAATATTACCCATATATATCCAGTCTTGATTAGATCCATGATAACCCTTTTAACATAGGTATGAATTAATCTTATCTATAATAATTCCAATTAGAACCAAAGAAAATTCCTATACATGTATATGAATTATTAAGATCAATATGTTAGACATTTGTATCTCCTCCAAAACTCGAAATTTGTGCAACCAATATTGCCGTAGGTTTCTCTCATCATCACAAAATACTATGCACCTTAAATGGGTTGATATTATGATGATCGAAGATAAAATGAGATGAGATTTTTGTTTTCCCTACAGGGTATCTTGCAATGGGTGATGGCTGAGAGTGTACATAGAGACAACAGAGAGATGCAGGAGCGCATCTTACTCATGCAGAAGGAGAAAGATCAGGTAAGGTAAAAAGAGAGAGGAATCCAGATGAGGGATGAATGATGAGGGATGGATAAGTGAGTCATGGCTATGTGTAGAGAGATGAAATATCTGCTAGATTGTTCAAGTGTCGCTATGAAGGTTTTGCTTTTAGCTTTTTTCCCTCGATGATAGGCTTTGACTAGCTCAAGTGATTGCCCCTACTCTGCATTGTGACTATTTATTGAAATTTATTGGCCGTATTTACTTTTCTTACATGTTTCCATTTTTCATGTGTTTTACTTCTTTTCTTTTCTTTTTGTAGCTGCAACATGAATACAAAGAGAAGCGATCATTGGTTGATCGACTGAAGGAAGACCTACAAGCCAAGATTGTGGACTACACCAATATGGCTGAAAGTGGTAAGATTATCAATTAATTACTAAAGCTTTCTTCCAGTTTATAGAGATATAAAACAATTATATTATTTCTACCCCTTCTCTTTCTACATTATAAACTTACCCTCTAAATGCTCCCTCGGAATAGGATAGAGTCCTTTCAGTAAAACTGTACTTATTGTAAATCAACTCTTACATTTTCTTATTCTGTTGAGCTGTATTTCCATACAAGTTGGACGGTATAGAACTTTTTATAAATCTACGTCTGTGTTTGTTTCTTCACAGGGAAGGGGAGTGACTCCGAGACCAAGGCTAGAGTGAATGCTATCCACGAAGTTAAAGAAATGATCAAGAGAGAGAGCGAGCATCTGAAAGATGTCAAACAGAGACTCAAGGAGCTTCAAGAAAGACAGAAGAGGGAGAAGGAGGTGAGAGACATGGAGAAATATATTCTTGAAATCTGTGCTGTACTTGACCTCATGACCTCTGTCTGTAAATGTATTCCTAAAATTACCTTTCCCATAAGGCCTAAAGAAAAAAGATGTTGTACTGCTCTTTAGGTGCCAAAACATGGGTTGGTCGGTGGAAAAAAAAGAAAAAAAACTTAAAAAAAAAAAAAAACTCCCTCTTTGGGCTGATATTTTTCAGTTTTGAATGCTTTAATAGATTTTTTTCTCTAAAACACAGTTAAAAAAACACACCTTTTTTATAAATGCTGACCGTAGATTTCAAGATTTTCAATACAACATCTTTTTTGTTTAGGCCTTATAGACCCTAATAAAGTTACACAGTCCTTTCTAAGCATGGTAAATGTATATTTCTTCCAATTTATTTGTTATTTCTCCTCTGACCCTCTTCATAATCATGACTTTTCTCCTATGTTACATGTATTACACTCTTTCACTGTTGTGTATTTTAAAATATTTGTTATTGTCCAGTTTTTATCTGCATACCCACTCTTAATCTCATGGGCCTGGACATGAAAGGCCATTACAGTGTTATCATGACCTCAAATTTGAAAGGAGAGGTACAAATCCAAATATGGAAATGTCAATCGTACTATTGATAACTGAGTTCTTGGAAATCTCTGTTGACTTAAGCCACTCATACCTTAATCTAAACTGTTTACAATATATTTGTATAATAATCCTATGAAGAAAAAAAAGGTTTACCATGATATGTCAGGATATTAACCTTCATTTGATTTGTTTTCCTGCGTGCAGGACATGAGAAGCCAGCATGCTGATTTGCATCACAACTCTGACCTGCGTCGTCTGGCCCGTGCAGAGGAGCGGAAGCGCATGGAGGCGGAGCATGCTCTCTCGTTAGAGGAAGAACTTGAGAGAATGCGGATGGAGATCGATCACCAAAAGGCAGAGATTCAGGTATGATTAATTCAACATTCATGACAGTTACCTTAAGTGGTGTAACCGCTCTGAATTTGAACAAAACTATTTCAATACTATTAGAAACAATAGGTAACAAAATAATTACAAAGTACATGTATCATATGGAAAGCTAGACAGACAAGTCAACATTTGCTAGTCTTCCTTGTTTATTAAATCCTGTGGTACAGGAAAGTAAAATTCCCATTTTAGATATGTATATGTAGAGGTCCATCGGACTGTGAACGACATCATGGTATTGGGTTCAAATTCCTGTCGCAGGACTACTGTCCTGTGGCAAGACATCAATCTACATTTGCCACACTTTACCCAGGTGAAGTAAATGGGTCAGAAAGTCATTCCTTAAAATGCTTGAGCACTGTAATAGTAGTCGCTCTAAAGACGGGGTAATAGTAATGGAGCACCAGGAGTGACAGTGCATGAGCGAGACATGAGTGCTATACAAGACTCCACTTATATTACTATGCAGAAATTCATTAGAATACTTGAAAATATTTTTAAAGACTTTTGTTCAAAATAACAAGCTTAACTATCATCACCATCATTAACATCACATTTATCTTACTCATCATCATTGTCAATACCAACATAAGGACAGCAATTATAAAAAATCTAACATTCTGCTCTTGTGCTAGCTATCCTAGCTAAGAACATAATACCAGCATAGGGACAGCAATTGAAATTGAACATTCCGCTCTTGTACTACAGTCAAACCTGCTTTAGTGATCACCTGTCTACAAAGACCACCTGTCTACAACAAGCACATTTTTTGTTTCCCTTAATTTGAAATGGTTTTTCATTATAACATTTACTAAAGGAACCTGTCCACAAAGACCACCTGTCTACAAAGACCACTTTTTTTATTTCCCTTGGGCGGTCGCTATAGACAGGTTTGACTGTATTAGCTAAACAGCATGAGGGCAGCAAATAACATCTAACATTCCCCTCTTGTGTTATTAGCTAAGAACAGCCAATGGTGGCGCTGGATACAACCAGGAGCAGTCCATGCAGATTGAGATGAGTCTCGTGAAGGAGAGAGAAGAACGTCGGGTCGTTACCATGCAGCTCCAAGCTATGGATGCAGAGAAAGCTCTTCTCATTGCTGAGCTTGACGAGGCGTATCTTAAGCACAAGGAGGAAAACGAGATACAACAGCTGCAACATTTCCAGGTCAGAATTTGAAACTGAATAATTGGATGTTTACATTGTATTCGTTGCCTATGTAGAGGGACCCATTTCTCTTACTTGGAAAAGCAACAAGATATAAAATGACGCCCTTTTTTTATATAAAGTATCTGATTTTAATACAACAGCTACAGCGTATCCAGGTTAAAATTTGAAACTGAATTATAGAATGTTTACATTGTATTCATTGCCTATGTAGAGGGATCGACCCATTTCTCTTTCTTAAAGCAGCAAGAATAATGAAGCCCCTTTTAATATAAAGCATCTGATTTCAATGAGCATCATAATTAGATATACATGTACACATGAATAGGAATTCAGGCAGATATCTTATAAAATGTTAACTCTTTAAATTTTCTTAAGAAAAATATGATTCATGTTTTAATGTATTCACCTGTTAAATCTCTATTTCACAAATTTGCAAGAAATCACTTTCTAAAATGTATTTGAATATTCTTCTCTTTGACAATCCGCTCCTTATTTCCTTCAAGCATGGTGGCTCAGTGGTTAGAGCGCCTGCCTCATGAACGGGAGGTCGTGGGTTCGAACCCCGGCCAAGTCATACCAAAGACATATAACAATGGGACTTTCAGCCTTCTAGCTAGGCGCTCAGCATATTAGATTGGAGAAGGGTAGTAATAACATATTATGTTATGCAGGGCCCGCTGGAAGAGCAGTTTCATAACTCAAGTGGCTACCCTGGGTAAATAAAACTTTATCATATTATTATTATTATCTATCGCTCATTCAGACATTCCGTAATTACCGTGAGGCGTTTGAAGAGCAGAAGATGGCCCTGGAGCAGAGGTACCGGACTCTGCTAGAAGATGCTATCCAGGATGCGGTCTTTCTCTCTGCTCGGAACTCTGAACTAGAGCAGGAGAATCAAGCCATCAGACAAGGTAAGAGTCTGCTAACAGAGGATAAATATGATGCTTGGCAATAGGCACGCTCACAGAGCTCACAAAGCGCAATGAGCACCGAAAGGTGGACCTGTGCGCTATACAAGTAGCCACTATTAATATTATTATTATTATAACAATAAGTGTGATTTGGATAGCAAAGCAAAGATCAATTTTTTTATTTTTTTTGGGGGGGGGGGGCGACCATTCACACATGTCAATTTAGAGTGAATTGGATCACGATGCAAAAAGCTTGAGGCGACCATTCACACTCATGGAGAATAGTCACTCGACAGCAAGAATGCCAAACTGCACATGCGTGAATCTCGAAGATATGCGCGCTTGGAATCCTGGGATTAAATGAATCGATTTTAAATTCTCAATACCGCCCATTCACATACATAGGGCCTGGCAAACTATCCCGATTATTCTGAAAAAATTGCAAGACTTATAGTTACTGCTAATTGGATCACAATGCGAATCGCGAAGATCAGTGAAATTATTTTGTCCACGCACGAAGACAAAAACAATTGGGAGAATCGTATTCTAAGCTAACATATATCTGTCGTCTGAGGTGGGAAAATAAAACAAGTAATCAAAGAAAGACGGGTGAAATATATTGGAAGTGCATGTATTGAAGCTTTTTGCATCAAGAATGACCTCTTTTTTGTAAAAAATCAGTGTATAGTATGGAAAATCCTATAATCCTTGTATTTTCTCTTTGATAGATGTTGCTGAGTTGAAGGACAAGGTTTCTATGATGGGAGGCAGTTCTAGGAGTAGGCCATCCTCAGCAGCAAGCATACGCTAGATCAACAATCCTCAGGTTAACACCCGCAACCATGGAGAGAATTGACATGGGATGTGGTATATAAATAAAACAAATATTGACTGCTTATTTTTTCGGGTCATTGTTAAAACTATAGCTCCTTGGTGATCTCGAGGCTGCACTATGCCAGTACAGTACAGAACAGTTTGAGATCACCTTGGACGATAGATTTGAACATGCCCCTCAAAGCAGTCAATAATTGTATCCTGTCCTTTCAATGGAATGAAAGGCCAGTTATTCATTTATTGGCATCGGTGGTAAATGTAGTACCGTATACTGTCTTTGAATGCAAAGAAGAGAAAGGATGGTTTGGGTAAAGTTGTGGTAATAATGTATTTATAATTTACATATTGTCAAGAATAGACATCATCAACTCATTAGAGGAATCAGAATTTCTAGGCAGAAGCCTCTGTATATTGATACGTTGTCTGTTCAGATCCAGAAGGGCAGTAACAGTGTGTTGAAGTATATGAGTTGTTTTGAATAGATTTTGTTGTATCTATTGTATATTAAGCAGAAACTAGCCGCATAGGCTTGGAGATAGTAGACTTTCTGTGGACCTAACAATGTCCAACCTATTAAAGGCATCATTTAACAAAGTTAAATCTGAGATGCATGGCCCTACGTGGAGACAAAGTACATGGCCGATATAAACAGGTGGCCGATATACACAGGTGGCCTTTATATAGAGGTGGCCACGAAAACAGGTTTAACTGTATCTCTTTTCTTCTCCTTTGAGTATATCAATTGCTTCAGACATTTACTTGTTCTGTATCATTATGTATTCTAATATGAATTCATATTTGTACAGTACAGTTGAATGGTGTGGTAAAATAATCTCTAGAATGATATCTATTTCAACAAATCACAGCAAGAAAACTCAATGGTGTCTCTGTATGTTTAGATAGATGTGTGAAAATTATTGTTTATTCATGTGCGATAAGGACTTGAGAAAAAGGTTAACTTGGATTTGTATAGATACAGAATACATTCTTTTATATTAATCACGATTAGCTATTTTTAATGAATTTTTCAATAGAGAGATATTATATTTGGCTTATCATGTGCTGAGAATTTTTTTTTCAAAACATGGTTTTGGATCATGAAATGTACTGTAAAAATCACCTTGGCTATCAATAATTTTGTCCAATGATTTATGCAATTGCTTTTATAATCACCTTGATAAGCAAATTCTAGTGTGTTCTATGACAGTTCCGTCCTTTTATATGTATAATACAGTATATGAATTTTTAAATCTATTTTTGATAATCAGTGTTATTGTATATCTTCAATTCCATCCAAGTTCTTGTTTAATTATATTTCTTTAAATCATGTTTGTTGTGAGTTCTCTACATCCAATTATATTGAAATGAAACTTAATTGTTTATTTTGTAGAAAATCTATTTAAAAATATTTATTGTAAATTGTTTACTCATAGATGTATATTTACGACTCTACGAACTTATACTTGTGTGAAAAATGTTTTATCATGTAGATATCATTGTATATGTGATGCGTTCTATCCAACGGTGTAGTGCTTTCTCAGATCAAAATTATTACATTATTATGGGGAAAAGTATTTCCAACTGATGTCACTACATTTTTGTTGTCTTTCCCCTAAAATGAATCAATTCCATCACCATACTCTATTGAGGAATGCGCAAGTTTCAATCACTTTATACATTTATGGTAAGATTCCGAGGACAGATGTGTGGATGATCGACTAAATAGCACAACTAGAATAGGCCATACATGTATTCATAATGTAATCACACGTCTTTGATCCATTTCTCTATCGCAAGTTTACCAGGATTGCTTAGAAATTCATGTATATCCTTTTACCCACTACAAATTGTTTTTATAATGGATTTTTAAAAAAAGAGTGATACAAATTATTTATTAGAATATGTGTGTGTAGATGTTCCTGTTATGTCTTTGTAAAATAAATCTATTTAACTACATTTTTGTAGATATCTGTTCATTCATTAGAAATTAAAAGGGCCTGTGATATGGTATAATAGTGAAGCCTTACTAAAAATTGAGCTTCAAAATGATCATGAAGTGCCTCAAAAAAGTAAAAAATCTCTTGAGTAACTGGTTTTTACCATACCCATTTTCCCCAATAGACTGTAGTGTTATAAAAACTGTTCGGAAAACAGAAAATTTGATATTGATTTCCATGGGGTTCCTAACTGACCTAAAGGTTAATAATTATCATTGCAGCACGAGCTAAATCTAAGATTTTGTTTCAGAATCTGAGACGATGTTACCGAGTCACTAGAACATCAACAATTCTCTAACCGTTATTGTGGATCCTTTATCTTACTCTTTCTCATCTTCTCTATTCCTGATCCATTTTCTTTTTCTTTCAAAATACATACTTAAACTTCACATACCTTGTATCTGTGTAACCTACAGATATAAGGTTCAGATCAATGAATGTAAAGCAATTTCAAATTGGCAAGTATGAGGTCATGTAAGGGCAACTCTTCCATACACTTTGTTTTCTTCGTTTCATATACATACGAGTAGAGAAGTAAAAGGTGTAGAAGATGAAGTATATGTGGAGTACATATTAAATTGAAAATGGGCAGGTTTTGTTTTGTTTTATAAATAGGGATTTGATAATCAATTCATAGAATAGATATAAAGATGCAGATAGCCAGTGTTCATATCTACTGAATGCATGCAATCATTATTCACTTTGTCCTACAATGTTCTCCAAATAATCAAATCAAAGATCTGTATTCTACTAATGTTGAAACCCAACGCTTGGGTTGATTTTTGTTCAAAATCAAGCTTTGTTATTAGACCCAGGGTCGAGTATTAACTGCATAAGTAGAATACAGACCAAACACATTCTATCACTTAACCCCGTCAAAGATGACAGGTGCTGCGGCAACATTTAGTCAACTGCAAACACGTAAAGAAGACAGGACACAATAATATTGGTTTTTGTCATTTTATTTTGCATGATTCTTGCAAAGTTACATAGCTCGCTCACCGATGTTTGGCAAACGGTAGACAGTTTTTGTGAACAATGGCGGTTGGCGGTTCATGGTCAGAATGTTACTCTTTCATAAGAGAATAGTTCCTTTGTGATAAGGTATGAAGAAGAATTGGTTGACTGAGGGTGTGTTCATTGCTGTGGGGAGTTGTGTGTCTAGACGCTTTCTTGGACTGGTGGTTCGTAGCCGTCTGGCCTGTCGACCTGAGCTCCGGTGTCATCGGTTGTGGTCGTCTTTCCTGTGGAAGATCCCTCACCGTGGAGCTCCATGAGACGGGATACTGTAATCATTAAAACAAGATCAAAACATGATTTAGATTTTAAAAATAAAACAAAATGTGTACCATTTTAACTCATCTTACAGAGATACTCGTTTGCGGCTTTGAAAATGAAATATTACAAATACCACGTTACATAATAGCTTGTGAACGCATTGTCAATACTGACAGATGGATTACTATCAAACTCGGGACAAGTATGTATCTTGCAAAGCCAATGACGCGATTAGATTTTAGGGTCACAAGGTCAAAGTTCAAACGTGTAAATGAAAAATAGCTTGTAATCATGATATTCTGAGAACCTATTAATGGATTACAATCAAACTTGAATATTCAAATTTTGCTTCTTTTTTGGTTTGTCGAAGTTCCATGACTTTCTAGAAGAATTTATTTTGCCATGACTTTCCAGGTTTCTCCATGACCGTGGTAACCCTGTTTATATGTAAACAGTGTTTACGCATAGTTTTATCCAAAATGAAAGCAATAAATGATGAGAGGAAGCCAGGGAAAAATTAATATCTATTTTTCGGGGGCTACTTTTCAAGCTTGCATGCATAAAAATAACATTGTAAAATTTGTTTTGCATTGAACTCTATGCAAATTTATGAGGGCTCTTTTCTGATTTTCGGGGGCTAATTCGCCCCGAGCCCCCGTGTATTTTTTTCACTGGAGGAAGCAAGGAGAATCTTACCGTCAAACTTGGGCTTCCTGAGGACCTTGACCTTGCGGATGTGGACATCATGGAGAGGGTAGATGCGATGACAAGCCTTCTCAATGTCCCTGGCAATGCTGTCTGGGATCCTATTCAAATCAACAACACATTGGATAACAGTTACTCAATGGGCAAATCTAATCAACTAATTTTTTTAACTGATTACCATTACCATTACCTTTCATGTTTGTACCTTTCCTAATGCACTTATATGTATCATGTATTTCATCTTTTGCACAAGCTGCACCTTGAGCATTTGACTGTCAAGTGGATTTGGCACCTTATAAATCTAATGTATTATTATCAGGAAAAAAGACAACATGTAAGATGCAGAAACCGAAGGTAAATGCTAGTTGTTTACATGCCACACACCAACTTTTACTGCTAAGATATTATCACCATGATGTTGCAAAAAAGATTGTAGTATAAATATTTGTGTCTGACACAATTTCCCTCAAAAGGATTCAATTAATTTTTTCTATTCATATATATATTTTTCAGTATTCACACGTTTTGTGTTGTCAAACTTGCATGACCATGGCTCTGGAATATTAGTGCTAATTACCTACTGTACATGACAAGAATCTTTACAACCTTGAAAAAGCTGTAACATCCTGAAACATTTGAAGTGATTTATAATTTATAAAAAAAAGAGAATAGCTTATGTTGACTTACAGCTTGTTGACGACTTCCTTGAGGTCGTTGGCTGCGCACTCGCGGGCCATGATCTCAATCATCTTCCTGCGGATAGCACGGACCTGGGTGCTCTGGGCGTAGGACGTCTTCTTGATCTGGTTCTGCCTGCGCTTGGTGAAGCCGATGCAGAAGAGACGCAGAAGGTAACCATCGGTGGTACGCACGTCAATGTTGGCGTCGATCAGAGTCTAAGGAAATAAAACAAGCAAAAGAAATGTACCTCTATTACTTTATGACACCTGCAGAAGTAGAGTAGCTTAAAAACTAAGATATTTCCAATAAACAAGCAGGGCGCGACAAACCCGCTTGCCCGACGTCCCGGGGCAACCAAATTGAGCCGTCGGGCAAGTAAATCAAATTATCACTTGCCCGATTCGGGCAAGTGATACTTTTACAGTAATTTCCTAGTGTCCAAGAACTCTACCATTCACCCGTCAACTTCTTACCCGTCGTCAAAATCCAGAAGCAAAAAAGCGATCGTTCCGATTTCGAAAAAACTTCACAGACAGCTAGCCAGCTCAGCTAGCTCAGCGCGCATTCAACAGTGACACTTCAAGCCATGAATGCCGCTCCGCCTCCACGCACGGCCGGCCGTGAGCTAGCTAGAGACAGCTAGCGCGATCGTACCAGCTGCGAGCTTATTCGCGCTCTCTCTCTCTAGCTCTGCAGGCCGCACCGACAGGCCTTTGCTATTCTCTGATTGCCGATTGGTTGAATCACGCCAAATATGACGTCATTATTCTAGGGAAATGAACACGTGCGAATCGGAATGGAATAAACAACAGGGATTTTCTAGTAAGTACAAAAAGTCAAATGTTTGATATTTATTCATAATGACTGTTAATGATTGTGAACATATTATTTAAAACTCGCTGCTCATATAAATCAGATGAATGTTTTTGTCTCGTTTTCAATTTATTACTGCGGTCTCAAGATCCGACCGAGCGAGTCATTTTGATAATAGTATCGAGACCCCCAGAATATAAGCCGTTGTTGTTTTGTTTTCATGGTTTTAGCGACGTTGTTTAGTCTAGTTTTCGCATACTTATCCGAGATTTATCGTAAAATATCTTCAATATTATTATTTAGTAAGAATTTACAAATTTTGGCATGATATTTATAGCAGTGAATGATGAAATAAAAATGTCCGTACTTTATTTAAAATAGTTGATTACCCATTATTTACATGACGTTTCTTGATGGAAGAGTTACGAGATAATAAATGCTTTAACCTCGAGTCCTTTTTCGCTTTAAAGTTTTGGGCAAGTGGAAATATTGTTTGGGCAAGTAAATTGAAAACCCACTTGCCCGACAGGGCAAGTGGTGAAAAAAATTCTTGTAGCACCCTGACAAGTTCAAGAAAACTGAACTCTTCACATACATGTATATACAATGCTCATACAAAAATAAAGTTTTATTAACGTAAGGAAATAAATAAAATACATAGACATTTTGAGGAACAAATTTTCCTCTGCTAAATCCTTAATAAAGCTAAGTACAACTTAAGTCCAAACTAAACATGTTTGTTAACTTGAAACAGCTAGTTTTGGGGGCAATACAATTCATCATCTGACATAAACATTTACAACAAGCAAGCAGCAAAATTAGACCAAATCCTTTGTTATAGGTTGTTCCTAAAGTTGTATGCACCAGAAACAAGTGGAAAATATCGTGATCGCTCACCAAAGCGAGGGGATGGACAAAAATTGTCTTTCATTATTTACCTGCCACTTCTTGACCATGGAGCAGTACTTGTCCCTGGTCAGGTTCATGCCATGGAAGTTGGTCAGGCAGTTCTTCCCGCGGACATCTTCAACCATCAGCCTGAACTTGCGGAATGCAACCTCATCGTTCTGCAGATCAGCCAGAGAGACCTCAAACACACGTCCCTTCAGACCGTCAGAGGCGATTTCTGGTAAGAAAAAAAAAGATGAAGAGTATGGAGTTATAACTACGAATGTGACATACTGTTCTTTTCAAACAAAGAAATATTTAAAAAGAATCTGGCTAAAATGGATATACATTATGAACTACAATTCAAATTATTTAAATTTAAACCCGCTATGATCTGTAAATTGCTACCAAAGAAATTGATAATTAGTTCTTTCCACACAATCAGTAGAAGGATTACCATAAGTACTTTTTCAACCTGCTTCTGCCTAAAGAATTAACATTATTTTTTGTTTAAATGAACAAACTCATGGGCCCGAATTCACAAAGGAGGTTTGTCGACAAACCTAGGTTTGTAAAAAACGTGTCATATGAGTACGAAAACCAAGACATGTTGACAAACCTCCTTTGTGAATTCGGGCCAAAATGTCTTGCCCAGTTTGAAAGTTGAAAAAATTTCTTGGAAAAAAAATCAGCTTGTTATTTCTTATCAGGATAGGACATGAAAATGCTCTTTCTTACTTGTTCCCTGTGTCCTGGTTACGAGAGTCTTGCCGATGTTGCGGATGTTGAACATGGCTGGAGCCTTGACATCGTACCATTCTTTCTTGGTGAACGGATCCAGACTGTAAACGGGAAACACAAAAGAAAAGAATATCTATCAATATGATTTCAATGCATAATCAACAAGTTGGATAAATTAAGATGCTGATCCTGTCTGAAATACTTTATCATTTACTTCTTCATACCATAAGCCCAGGTTGGAAAATGCTATTGCAGTTAAATGTCATGTAGGGAATGAAATGGCAGGTTGGCAGGTCTTGGAGACAGGATGCCAATATAAAATCTGTGATCTAATACATTTTCAACTTGAGCAGTGCAATTTTTTTCCCCGCAAACCTAAGCTATGCAGTAGGGGTGCTGGTCCGAGAATAAGGATCTTCCGCATATAAGAAGATCGTCTTCGTAAATGCGGACAGACTTGTATGCAAAAAAAAGGATCGTCCGCATTTTCGCTGACAATTCTGATTTCCGATTAAAATGCACATTGGCTATGTGAAAAACGGATTTCGCAATGATTTTCTTGATGCATTTCACATCGACTTTGCACAGAGACTTTCACGTTATGAGTGATAAATCCTCTGGAAGACGGACAACCCATAAAAGTAGACGGTGAACTGGGGGTATTTTATTACACAGAATCAGTTTTGTTGCAATGCCAGTGGGCAGATCGAGGAACCCGAAATCCGCAGAGCGCCATTCTGTCCGCGTTTACAAGGATATCCTCGTTTGTGCGGATGATCCTCATTCTCGGCCTAGCGCCCCTAATAATTAAAACACCTCATTTATCGAGTATCACCTAGATCTACAGGATCATGAGCGATAAACAGTAGGGGCACTAGGGGGTTCATGTTACAGAACCGCCAGCTGGCGATGCCAAAAATGGATTCCCCGTGGGGAAATAACCCTAGTTCACCGTCTCCTTTAATGGTAGGGTGTCTGAACGATTTTTCAATTTTCAATTTGGGATCGTTTTTCACCATTTTTGTTTGATATCTGAATAAAAGATGTTATCAGAATAATACATTTCAAATTTCAAGTCTCACCGATGTTTCTATCAAAAGTTACAGCCCCTCCAAAACGCTGGTATATTCATATCATTTTGGTCAAAATCGACGAAAAAGACGTCTACGCAGAGTGATGTTGTTTTGCTAAATTTAGCCAAACAGCTGTATCGCGCGATATGCAAGCGTATGCATATCGTACGCATGCTGCTAAGCCAATCCGCGACTTGCAGCTTGAGCTACGCTGTCTCCGCGACATGTGCCATTGACTAGTATGGTTGGCGTTCGTCGCACAATAAACCCGGAAGTGAATGCACGTTATAGTCAATGGCAATATCGCGGAGATGTCTCCGCGATATTGCCATTGACTATAACGTGTATTCACTTCCGGGTTCTATGCCGCGAATGGCCACCCATACTTGAATTTGGGGTTTCGTTCGTGCGCAGAGATGTTACGCGATGTAACCATGGTTTGGACTGAGCGGAGCGCACGCCCCCTAATTAGCTGATCCACCAAATAGCGAGAAGGGTATTTTTAAACTGTTATCAGTTGTGATCCCTGGGGGCTAGCGAAAATATAAGCACATAGAATTGTTCCTTAGGACTGGGACTACTTATCGATCGGGGCGTCATATCTCAAAAGTGACAAACCTCAGAGTTAGCCAGGACACAATGTTTCAATTGCTGTTTTGACCAAGATATTTTTAGAATTTCGGGGGCTACGCCCCTTTAGAAATATTGGAATTTACCTGCTCTTTCATATGACACCTCATTTATTGATTATCACCTTCAGGATCACAACAGATAAAGGTTTGAATCTCAAATTGAAAAAAAAAAATTGACTTTTTTTGCATGGTCGCGCAATGCACGTAGACTGCATAGGGATGCGTGTAATCTCTATGGGAAGAATTTTAGCACACAACATCGGGTGCGCGATCAGACACCCTATTAATGGGTTGTCCGTCTTCCCAAGGATTTATTGCTCATAATGTGAAGGTCTCTGTACAAAGTCAAAGTAAAATGCATCAAGAAAATCATCTCAGAATCCATTTTTTGCATCGCCAATGTGCTGATCAAAAATATGGAACATCTGCTTTTTGGCAGACGATCCTTGTTTTGGAGGACGCATTGGTCAGCGTTTACAAAGACTATCTTCATTTATGAAGACGATCCTTATTCTCGGACCAGCGCCCCTACTGGTTACCTGAAACCCACAGAGCGCAGATGAAAAAAAGTCCTCGAAAATGCAGACGATCCTTTTTTTTGAGGACGCATTTTGTCTGCGTTTATGAGGACGATCCTCATTCTCGGACCAGCGCCCCTACTGTCTACGGGAAAGTTTTAAGCACACAAAACCGAGTGCTCAATCAGACACCCTAGTAAACTGAAAGTTAAATTAACTCCAACATGCCACAATTTAAGGGGCACAGTGCAACAGCAACACATTATTCAGTAAAATGTTAATGTTGAGTGCGCCCTCAACATCTGAACGTTAGCTCAAGTAATTAACAGAATAATAAAGATTATCAATGTACATAAAGAAAGACAAGTTAATATACTAGATTGAACAAATACAATGACATTTGACATGCAACTTCTTAAGAGAGAGCCATGTTTTGTTGACACGAATCGAAGTGTCGAGTGTGTGACTCGCGTGCAACGACGTACAAACCCACAGTATGGGCATCGCAGTCGTGTCATACAGTCATCACAATCTATAAAAATCTATATCATCCTTATATTTCTATACACATATGTTCAAATACTATTGAAAAAAATATATGAAAATTACGTCTGAAAACATAATATGTTCTTACATCTTCTTTTTGGAGCCTTTCTTGCCTCCTTTTGAGAGGCGTTTATTCTTGCCCACCGCCATAGTTAGGGAGCTAATCAAAGAGGAAGTTGAACGCGAAATGCACGCTGGGATAGGAAATGGGGAGTTAAACCTCAAAACATGCATTTTTTATGGATTTGTATGTATTGTAGTTGTATTTCATTTACTAAAACCTTTTTTAAAAAAAATTGATATAAAATCATAGTAAATAATGCAATATACTACAAAAATCTATAAAAATATAATTCATAAAACCGCTATAGGTGGATATTACTAGTATTAGGTGTAATGTAGGTGTTAGCAGACGACGGGTTAAAAATACTGTAAACGATCGAACGCATAATTATGTTCGGGGGCCATGCAGACAGAAACACAACTTGTCAAGCCTCAAGGGTCATTTGTCATTGGCGAGATACCAACACTAATATAATGAATGTGTATTTTTCATATACCTCCTTCACATCGCTAAAAAAACGGGTAAACTTAACCGAATCCAAACTTGCCTTCTTGGTCATTAATTGGGAAGTATTTCTATTATTCAAAAAAAAAAAAAAAAAAAAAAAAGACTTTACGTGGGACCGCACCTCGAGATTTTCCCTCTCATAGCTATAGACTTTTTATGAATTTATTACAAAAGGATTTTAAAAAATTGAAGCAAATGGCCAGAGTGAAAATAAGAATGATAGACAGATGCATGGAACTCGATTTAGCTCTTCCTGCCCATATAGGCGACAAATAGCTAGCTAGCTATTATAGCTATAACTTTATTGATTACACTGGTTATTAGAGCTATAATATGGATCAAACCGGAAAAACATGTGCCAACACAATGCATATTTGATAACAATATTGAAGTTATTATATCATGAAAAAAAAGAATTTTTAAAGATTTGTGAGGTCGCAGTGCGAAAAATTAAATCTTTTAAAGAAGAAAAAAAAAATCCCCAGGGCGGCCAAGTGAAGAAAAAAAAAAAACAAACATTATTTTTCGAATTGAAAAATCGGGGGCAAAATGTTTTTTGTCTAATGAGCGAAATATCGGTCAGCGCGATTTTGGCAGAAAGCTAGATCCGCCCCTGATCCTGATGGGGTTATAAGCACGTTCTCATAATGGACGACTGAAAAGACCAAGTAACATAAATGTATCATCTATATAAATTGCTCTTAGTCGCTTTAAATTAGGGGCACGTGTAATGATGAGAGAAAAGGGTGACACTTATCAAAAGGGATAGAGACACTTATTAGAAAATATAATAAGCACGTGTCAAAGTACAAAAGGTAATTATCAGAGGTGAAAGTGGGGCATTTCTCACACCTGAAAAGAGGGTCTCACCAGAGATGAAAAAGGCATTATGAGAATGGCAAATGGGTATTTGTCGACGGAAAAGGGGCATTTATCATGTAAATGTGAAAAGGGGCAACTGGAAATTATTAAAAAGGAAAAGAGGCATGTATCAACAAAAAAATGTATAAAAATGGCACTTATCGCAAAAGAAAATATACATTATATTGAAAGAAAATGGGCACCGATCAAATATTAATAGGGGTGTTAATTATTAGAGTTGAAAATGGGCACTCATCAGAGATGGAGAGAGCAGGGGTAGGCCTAGCTACTTAAAAGTCAAAGTAAAACGAGCATCTCTCAGATTTGAATAGGGGCAATTGTCGGAGGTGAAGGGGGCACTTATGAGAATGAAAAGCGACATTTATGAGAAGATAAAGGTGCTCTTTTTTGTTAAATGGGGGCACTTATTAGAAAAGAAAAGGAAAGGGGCACATGCAAAAATAAAAGGTGCGCTAATTATCCGAGCTAAAAAGGGGTAGTTATCAAAAGGGAAATGAGAACTGCTTACAAATTAAGGAAGAGGGGCACTTGTCAAGATTAAAGAGGCAGCTCTGACATAGGGCAAATATTAGATGTGAATCCCCCATTCACATCTTATATAAGTGAGAAGGGGCACTTTTCGTACCTGAAAAGGGGCACTTAGTAGAGATTAAAAAGTGCACTCGTGTAAAAACGAAATATGGACACTTATTGCAAAGGAAAATGGGAACTTGTCCAAGAAAAAGCCCGGAGGGGGGGGGGGTAATACTTTAGATTTGGTGTGTACGGGGGTGTGCCGCTCAAGCCTCAAAACCCCTACCAATTTTTAAGAGTCATTTGGGGGATTTTTCTGAAAGTAAAGCCCATTTTTCACAATTTTGTGGTGTCAAAAGCGAGAAGGGGCACTTTTCGTACCTGAAAAGAGGCACTTATCAGAGGTGAAAAGGGGAAGGGGCACTATATAATCAAAGTAAAAGGGGCACTTTTCCTACGTACAAAGTGGCACTTTAGGGGTAATGGAAAAAATGGGGCACAATGCCCCCCCCCCCCCCGTCACCGCCGCCTCTCCAGAAAACTTTTTTTTTTTTTTTCCAAGTAAAAATTAATGCTCATTTGAAGCGCTCGATCATTATTTATAGCGCCATCTCATATATCGGCGACAAACGTAAACACACAATTGTATTCATTTATTACTGCTCTGAACTGTGACTCTCACTCTGTCTCTGCCATATCTGACGTCTTGCATCCTCTTTTTCACTCTTGTGTCAAGAACATATACCAGCGAGGTAATATAGACTACATCTTTGTATTTTTATTGAATCTAAGTCAGAAAGACAACATAAGTTTACCAAATCGAGATCGAGTTAGGCGTGTCGTTCTTTGAATAATAACTCATTGTGTGGTCCCATAAGCTTAACTTTGTGTTTGCAAGAATGAATGGAGATGTCAGGGCGCTAGTTCAGAAGCCTATCCAAAATTTGACTTGTAAGTTGTAACTCCGGCGAGGAGATGGCCTACTAAAACATACCCAAAATGAAGTAAATATTCATTAAATGTCCAAATAAGATCATGAGTTAAACTTCGCTATGTTTATTACCTGTTTTGTGTTGATTTTCTTGTTATTTTTGGAGTATTTTTCGGAAAAACGTTGATATTACTGTTAATTAGTAATTAGTATACACTTTTTCACAGGTTTCACGGCAAACCACTGCACAATACAAGTGAATGCCGATGGTGGGTTGCGGGCAGGCGCGCGCCTGTTGAACTTATCTACCGTGTTTTAGACCAAGCTTGAGTTTGAGTGAGAGAGTGAGATGGAGCCTGTTCTACTTTGAATGTGCCTTTAATTTAAATTAGTCAATGTCCAAATTTGTCATCGAGAAGGCCGTTGAGCTTTGCAGCCGTACATTACACATAAAAAAAACCTCTCATAAAGACAATCATGTTCAAGTTGTGGAAATTTCAGATATCTTACAAACACAAAGTCATTAGGTTTATGGAACTCACAATTAAATGATAACTTTTGATTCATCATGTGAATTGTCTTCATTAATTTCGGTAAAAGTAATTGTGTCATCCTGATTAACCCCAACCAATGTTTTGTATTTTGTATTTAAAATGTTTGAAAGTGTAAAGAATAGGTGGAATGGTATGAACTATGAAGAAATGAAAAATCCTATTTACATGTACCAACATCTTGTTTATGTATGATGACTTAGGTTTGCTTTGTCAATTTAATTTAAATCTAACTCTAAGGAAATCAATAGATTTATGGGGAATTATTAATATGGACCGCACGCATGTGCGTGCGTTGGATGGCGTTCCATACTTGATTAGCACGTACATGCGTGCGTCCTATATAAGCAGGTTATCCGCACACCGTCGGGGCAGAATTACCAGTAACCAGATAACAGAAGTATAGACTACGCATCGGAGTGCACTACAAGCAACGGAGATCATCACAGCAACCAGCAAAGGACAGCATCGACGGATTCTGACATATAGTGACGACTCTGGTGAGTAGATTTTACTTTAGTGGCGCTGCGAGACTTCGTTCCTGCGCTATTTAATTGACGAATTATCGTTGATATTTGTATTATTGAGTGTGTGACTTGATTCTTGTATTGTGTACGTTAGTTTGTGGTTGACATGTGCGTGCCGTATTTTGGCTTGTACATGTGTACGGCGTAATCACGGACAAGTTCGTGGATCCACCGAGCTAGTATAACAGGTTAGTAGTATTGCTTGTTATTTTTGCTTTTGATTGATTGGAGGTTATATTTTTAGATTTTTTTCCGTGGAGTGGTGGTTTGAAGGCAGTTTTCTTCGCGATTTTTTAATTTTGGGTGTGGCAGGGGACGCTACGTCGGCACGCCCTAGACGCTGTTATTGCATTCTTTCTTTTGTGTACTGCGCCCAGGCTCGCACCCTATGGTAGCTTATTGTTATACTGGGGTGGAGTTTTTTCGGGTGCGTACCTTGTATGAGTGATTGTTTGAGGCTGGGTTTATCCCTTCATTTACCTTGGCTTTGGCGTATTATCTTTGATATTTTTGATTGTTTGGGAGTGAAAGTATTTGCTTGGTGTGATTTAGGGTTCATTCACCTCTTGTTGAAATTGTATTTTCCACCCAATTTCGGAGTGCCGATTTTTTGTGAGTGGGGAGGGAGAGTGAACCACAGTGGTTTGTTATTGCATTGTTGCTGGAATTAAATCATCGCTAATTTAATAAATCATCGCTAATTTAATAAATCATCGCTAATTTAATTAATCATCGCTAATTTAATTAATCATTTTTTGAATTAGAGTTGCCCTCTTACAATTAATCAGTTTGGAAGCAGAGTTGCCCTCTTACAATTTTAAGTAACGGGCTTCTCGCTCCGAATGATTTATTGGGCATATAATTAAATATACTGTTAGGGTTTATATTTTATAAATCGTAGTTTAAGTTACTGTAGTGAATACAAATATATATTTAAAAATACAAGTTTATTAAGCTGTTGAATTGGGTCTGAATGTTAAAGCAGTGACATAGTGACCTAATCAACGGCTGTGAATATTGTGTTTGAATATATTGTATTTAAATTTATTGATAGGAAGTTAATTAATTTATTAATCGTAGGGTAAGTTACTCCGCCAAAGATATATTGCGGGGACATACAAATATCTTTAAAGAATACAAATTCATTTAAGCGGTTGAATTTAGTCTGAGTGTCCACAGCCAGGGACATAGGGACTTTATCAGCGGCCTTGAATATTGTGTTTGAATATTTGGGTTTGAGTTTGAATTATTTGAGGACAAGTCTCCTTCTTTGAATTAAATTCTGTACTTGAATGTTTGAAGGTTTGAATATTTGAGTGTGAATTTGGATTGAAATTATTTGGGTTTGTTTATCAGGAAAAGTCTCCGTTTGTAAATTAACATTCTGTATAACAGAATAGTAAATAATTGTTCGCCTGATTGAACAATTCTCGCGTAATATTTTAATAGTAAGTTAGTGAAGAATTGTTCGTTTGATTGAACAATTCTCACGTAATATTTGTATAGTAAGTTAGTAAAGAGTTGTTTGGTTGATTGAGCAATTCTTGTGAAATATTGTAATACTAGGTTAGTAAAGAATTGCTTGTTTGATTGAGCAATTCTTGCGCAGTATTGTAATACTAAGTTAGTAAAGAATTGTTTGTTTGATTGAGCAATTCTTGCGCAATATTGTAATACTAAGTAGTAAAGGATTGTTCGCTTGATTGAGCAATTCTTGCGCAATATTTGTATACTAAGTTAGTAAAGAATTGTTTGCTTGATTGAACAATTTTTGTGTAACATTTTAATACTAAGTTAGTAAAGGATTGTTCGCCTGATTGAACAATTCTAGCGCAATATTGTAGTACTTAGTCAGTTTTTTCAGGTTGGTACGTAAGTTAGTTGTATTGTATCATGCCGAAGATACAAATTAATTTTTGTAAGGTAGAAGAGCTGTTGCAGGTTCCCGGCATCGGCAGGACTTTAGCCGACCGGATTCTGGCTCTTCGAGAGGCGAGTGACATCACCGCAGAGTCGCTTGTAGAGATTCCTCATATAAGGAACCCCTCTGAGATTATCGAGCACTTCGATTTTGCGCCTTTTACGGAGAGATTGAGCGTTAGTGGTGAGCGGTCTCCTTCTAGGGATACTCCCACACCCGAAGCCAGTCGGCCACCTTCTCCGTATCCGTTTGATGCGTATCCTAAGGATGCGTTACCAGCTCACATTGTGAACCCGACGGAAGGGGAGGGAAGCCAGTCAAAGGTGACTGAGGACAACCCAAGGGAGAAGGCGAAAGCTATTGACCGCGAGACCTCTCCACAACATAAGGCTGTTAGTTTCGATTCGCCCAAGAAGTATAAGTCTTCGACTCGGGAGAGGGTTTCTCCGGTTTCTTCACCGGATCGCAAGGATCGCAAGGACTCTCGGAGAGATTATGATGACGAGGGTCTCTATTCAGATTCTCCCCCTCGAAGGTCGCGGCAGGGCCGTGACCAGTACGAAAGTAGGGGCGAGACAGATCGCAGAGGGAGTCGCCATGACTCCCCTCGATCAGATCGCAGAGGGAGCCGCCATGACTCCCCTCAATCAGATCGCAGAGGGAGCCGCTATGATTCCCCTCGATCAGATCGCAGAGGGAGCCGCCATGACTCCCCTCAATCAGATCGCAGAGGGAGCCGCTATGATTCCCCTCGATCGGAGCGTAGGGGGAGTCGCCATGATTCCCCTCGATCGGAGCGTAGAGGGAGTCGCCGTGACTCCCCTCGATCGGATCGCAGAGGGAGCCGCTATGATTCCCCTCGATCAGATCGCAGGGGAAGTCGCCATCATTCCCCTCGATCGGATCGCCGAGGGAGTCGCCATGATTCCCCTCGATCCGCTCGCAGAGGGAGGCGTGTCGATTCACCTCAAAACCGGAGGGAAGGCCGGTACGATCATGATAGAGAATCGAGATATCACTATTATGACCAGGATTCCCCTCGAAGTCACCGGAGTGACCGTAGTGAATCTAGAGGCCACAGGCATAAATCTCCTTCCCCATATCGAAGATCCCCCCGTAGGTCGCATGATCTGCCTAGGCGGGATCAGAGAGAGGAGAGTAGCGAGGGTGTAGACTTCGAATTGCCACCCCGTGTGAGAAGGACGGTTTACCATCACTCGCCCAGACCCATGAGAGCGACCATGGATGAAGGGAGGAGCGTAAAACTGGTGTCTCTTCCCAAGTCCATTGCCTTCAATGGGACTGGGAACTGGCAGGCGTTTATCGCCAAATTCAGGCTATACGCCAGCGAGAGTGGTTGGGACTCCAAACAATCTCGCAATTACTTGTCTTGGGCCCTGGATGGGGATGCTAGTATATATGTGGCTACTTTGCTTGAGCGGGAACCCGGCACCACATATGAGGTACTGGTAGGAAAATTGGAGAGGCGTTTCACTTCTCGGGAATTACCTGAAGTGTCTCAAATGCAATTTTCTTATGCCAGGCAGATCCCCGAGGAGGATATCGTTGAGTGGGCTGCCAGGCTATCAACTTTAGCCTCCCAGGCATTTCCCGATTTGCCGGAGCACTACATTCAACGCCAGGTCGTCATGCGTTTTTGCCAAGGTTCCGCGGACAAAGAGGCAGGTCAACATGCCTTGAATTCTCGTCCTAAGACCGTAGAGGAGGCAGTTGATCTGGTCAAGTGGTACCAGCACTCTCATAAGGCCATCTATGGGAAGCCCAGGAAGGAAGTGAGACAAGTCTCACAGTCCATTGAGGC